ATACATACCGCATTATTCAATCAGAGCAAAAGAAAAAATTTACATTCGCATCGATTATGTACATACATTATGACTATTACGTAAAAATGAATTAATAATTGAATTGATAATAATTATTTAACTGTGTATAGGGAGAGAGAGAGAGAGAGAGTAGTAAAATTTGAGGGGGAATTTTGGTGATGAAAAAGAATAAAAAAAAAAAGAAAAATCAATCAATTTCTTCTTTTCAGATGAAATTTTTTCGTGATAAAATATGACGTTACCAGTAGGTCAACAGAAGAGGTATGGGATGCTGCTCTCATTCCATTATTTCAAAATCAACAGCCATCGATGAAAAAAAATTCAAATATGCCTGAGCTTTTCTCCTCGGTTATGTCCGTTGCCACCACAGCACACTACGATCTACATATACATATCATTTCAACTTGACCGCGAGGTCATTGGCACTCTGCTTGCACCTCTATCTCTGCGAATTCGTCATAATCAAGATTGAAACTAGGACACTCAAAGTACTCCATTGCATACATATTGCATAATGATATATTCACACAAGTATTTATATCATCATTTACTCATGTATTCTTTTTTGTTGCAACATAGATAATTATATGCCAATGATTAGTTTATTAGATTTATACATATATACATATACATATATATAAATATACATATATATGAGAAGATGGCTGGCGTAAAATTAACTGGTTCAATGGGGTAAATAATAATTGCATTTATACATCAATAATTATTTATTACTTCAATATTTCAACTTGTTTTTGAAATGTATTTAATTTAATAAATTATCATTATTCTGATGTAATTTAAATAATTATTAATACAAAATAGTGATTAAGATGTTTGATAGAGAAAAATCAATTTTCTTAATTAAGCAAACTCGTAAAGAATTCATTGAACCCATTATTCATCGAAAAATTTTTTCAATTTTCAAGTACAAGTTCTTGAGTTAACCCTATCGTAAACACATTTTGTAACAACATCAATAATTGTTTTATTAATTAAAAAATGATTGAAATTCATTTCGGAATTTTCATGGAAAAAAAATTAACAATTTTGAGTAAAATTAGAACATGTGTTAAACAGTGAGTTTATTGAAACAGTAATGAAAATGAAACGAAAATAAATAAATAGTCAAATGATAGTGGTACAAATCTAACTGAGAGAGCGGGTAAGAGAGAAGAGAAATAGAGAGTCAACGTTGCTATACTATTCAGGCTAAATGGGTTTGTATTCTCGATGAAGAGCAAATTAGATTACCACGAAATAACTACCTACACGACTACCTCACTCACGTTGTACGCGACAACTCTATTGCATGTATAATATTATATACATATACTAGTATAGTACATATGTCATACACTGTTCTTATATACATTCATTCATCGAAACGTCACGTACGTATATTATATTATAAGAGTCAGCCAGTATGACTTTTGTTGCATTACATTTTGAATAAATAAAATCATATAAAAATATTAACGATGATGTTGTATTACAAAAATTTTTTGATATTTTATATAAAATTAAATAAAAAATTTTTTTCATTCCAATCAGTTGATTATTAATTATTATCAAACGGATAAGATTAATGATGTAATAAATTAATATTTTTTACAACTCCTTTATTTACTTCATTCTCTAGCTTGCATTCAAATGTGTCTATCTTTGAAATTGATCCCTATTTTGTATAAACAAATCATCTATACATACATATAGGATGGGAGACTGTAAACAAAGCACATAGCTACTAGCAATATCTAGACCATAATGAAACAGATTAATTTCCGTCAATAGCAGAACTGAGATTATCTTTGATAAATAGATCACTTTGATAAATAGACAAGATGAAAAAAATAATTTAGTACGTTGTACGAAAATATTTTACATACTTGTATACAATATATTATCTAATTTTATAATTAAAGTGAGAGCTTTTCATCATTTATACAAATATAAAGATGAATCTTTTCAAAGGTCAACATTTCTCAAGTACATAACGTATACATAAAAGTATTAACGCATGTAGAATAAAAGCTTTGGTGAACTCTTGGCTTTTGTACTCTCTTTTAGACGTTTTTTTTTTGTGCTCTGTACAGTCGTATTCACTGAAAGAAAGAGAGATGGAGAATACACAGAAAAAGGTCAGTAAACATTTTTCAGTAGACTGCGGTGTGTTTTCAATTGTTATTTCAATGAAAATTTTGCCCGGGGCTACATTGTTATATATATATATATATACGAGGAAAATTCCAACCCTAGCAATATTGCTACAATTTTCACTACGAAACAACGTTGCTCACCCTCAAATAAATACGTTGTATAAAAGCTTCTTAATAAGTGATAAACTGACAGCATTTTACAATATCTAGATTTTATTATTTTTCAACAGTACAAAATAAATAAATAAAAATACTAAACTCATAATAATGTTGTATTTTATTTATGTTATTAAGAACTGAATAAAATGATTAAAAAACTATCAAGAACATAATTGTAAATTTAAAAGTAAGTAGTTGGTATTATTAACGTCTATAAATACCTCTTTTGTGGATAAATGAATGAGGGTGCATAAGTAAATGAAATGAAATGATTGATGGTTGCTTAATGAGCAGTACCACTACCACCTACCTTACAATTTTCGCGGAATTTACAGAAATTTCTTAATGAAGAAAACTTGAAGCACCGCAATCGTCCTTAAATGAATGCATTTTATAAGTGAAAAACGGTCATTTAATTTTTCCTTTTTTATCATTGAATTTATTTTAGTGAATTGAAATTATTCACTAATCATATTTATTGAAACAATAAGTTTTATTTGTACAAAACTAATAAATCCATTTTCGAGATTATTTTCCAATTTAAAATAAAATCTTCTTTAATAGTATTATAGGTGTAAATTATTTCAACCAGGTTTATATATTGTCATTAATGTGATTAAAATTTCACATATTAAAACTAAATCGTATTATTTTAATGTAAAATATTATTCATGAATGTTTCAGTATGTTTTGGTATACAAATATTCGAAGAGACACCACAATACACAGAAGTTAATCCAGGACAAGATGCCAAGCTTATCTGTCGAGTCCGAGGTAAGCGAGGATTATGCATCTGGCAAAAAGACCAAAAGGTTTGTAAAATTAAACTATTTTTATTAATAAATTTAATTTAATATAATAAAAATCAATACATAATGTAAATATAGTTTGATTATTGAATTGATTGATGATGAAAGTGTGAGTAATAAGATGGGTAAATAAGTTGATTCGTTCTTATTTTCATCATCTTGAATACATTTCAAATGAAATTCTCATTTTCTCAATATATACATATATATTAATTCAACTTGATTTACAATTCTTGAAAAAGAAATACTCTTTTTAAAACACCCTTTAACATAAAAACAATCTTAAGAAAGTCTATTAAATACATTTCATTCAAGTGGCTCTCTTTTGAAATGTAAATTATTTATGCATAAAAAAAATATACTGTTTCTACAGGAGTCACGATTTTTGTTGTGTTTTATAGGAAAAAGGAAATTATTTATATTATCCACAATAAAACGGTCATTAAATTAAATGAAATATTTATTTTCATCTTATTGTATCTTTTCTCTTTTCTCATTAATTAATAAAATTTTATATATGTTGATGTATTTGTGATTTTAGGCTATTTCGACAGCCACACAAAAGCATAAATACATTGGAAGAGTAAATTTTACACCACTTGAGCTTTTGGCTCAGTTTTTTGGCAAAGTTCGAGTTGGCATGATTGACTACCATTAATATTCCCTATGGGCGTTACCCAAATCGTTGGTTTCGAGGTTTAATCACTGATTTTGACGGTTATTCTTCTTCATCAAATGTATATTTGTACTTTTTTCTAAAAATTATAACATTCCATATTTAATTAGCAACTTTATTCTTTAATAATTTTAATTAATTTTAACCAATTATTTGTAAATCTAAATATTTTCTAAAATTAATCATTGTAATATATAATGTAGAGTATTAAATAAATACAAAATTTTATTGTATTATATATGTAAACATATATACATATACATATTCCAGTTTTATTCTCTTTCTTAATCTCTGAACACGTAAATTTTTATGACTTCTTTTCACTATTGCTATTATATGTGTCGTAAGTTTTTCCAACGCTCGCAAATCGTTTACGTTTCACGAATAAGTTGTGAAATAAAACGTTGCTATTTGAGAAAAGTTTTTACTGAAAATTGTAAAAGACGGTTGTACATAAAAAAAAGCACTTTCAAGTGACAACGACGACGATGACGACGACAAGTTTAGACTATTACGCGTATGTACAAAGACTTTAAATTCATAAAAAGTCTATTTGTAACATGTATAGCAAGTAAGGAAATGCAGCAGTCATTTGTTGAATGATATACTCGTAAATTTTCACGCTTTCCCAGTCATATTATATATAGGTACATATATGTATATAAAATATTAAAAAATTCAGCTTGACACAAAAACGTGCATTTTGAAATATTATATTTGTTCATGGTAGATTTGGAACAAAAAAATTATTTCAAAGCTCGATTTAATTTTTCAATCAAACATTAAGATATATTTTTGATAATATTTATTTGTATAATAGTACGCATAAGATTTAATCAAGTTCTGATTAATCAGTTGATCTCTTCTCGTATTTCTATGTTCGGTTGATGTATTTTCTATCCATTTCAATGGAATTGCATCGTCACACTACTCACTTGTAAGAGATAAAAGTAAACTATGTGTTGGAGAGAATATCATCAGGGAAAAGCCTTTGGCCTGCTAAAAGTTGGTATACCCATCTTCCCTGTTTGAAACACACACACACACACACACACACACACACACATATATGTATATGTATATAGTATATATAGTATATAGTTGTTTAGCTGAGTAAATGTTTGTTGGATACGCAGCAGCAGTAGCAGCACCAAAAGGGGTTGAGCTCTCTAGAGAGAAAGAAAGAGAGTGAAAAAGAGAGTGAGAGCAAAAGAGAAGGAGAGAAAGTTGGGTGTCTGCGGGTGCATTACGCTGATTGCTGTATTCGAACGTGCCCCTTTTCTCTCCTGAAATTTTTTCTCTACGAGTAAATAAGAAGAAAGAGATTATACCCTTTTCCATTTTTTTTACGTTTATTTACCGGCCAGAAAAACTTACAGATTTTACTCTAGTGTTTTAAAACTTTTTTTTTAAAAATATCAAAAACAAAGTCTAACATTTAGCTCGGAGCTTTTTTAAATTGAGTGTATTTGCTAAGTGAAAATATTTATGTTAAACTTTTTTCAAAAAAATATTTCTTTTTTTATTTACAGCCAATTGGTATGTATTTAAAAAAATATGAATGGGTTGGATCACCTGATATGGGAGATTGTTCATTGTGGGTTCGATCAGCAGCACTTGAATTTGACGATGGATTGTGGCAGTGTCAAGTTACTGCAAGTGACTTTACTGCTCAAGATGCATTAACTTCCGAATCAGCACGGCTTGTTGTACGTGGTAAGTTGAATTATTGATGTCTTTTTTATCCATATATATATACATATATACGTCAAAAAGCTAAATAATCCTAAAAGTAGTAGAATATTGTATTATTTATAAAAAAAAACATTGGTTCTTTAAAAGCATCATGATATAAGATTTTGTTAAATTTGTGTTATAGTAAGCCCTCAGCGACCACAAATAGAGTATGCAGGAGCTGTTATTTTACCTGGTGGAAATGTTACTGCACGTGCAGGTGAAATAGCAACATTAACTTGTACAGCTCGTTATGGAAATCCTCCACCTCTCATTAAATGGTTTTTATAACATTAAATTTCATAAATTATTAATAAAAAATTTATAAGAGTAAATAAATATATATATATATATATATATGTATATTTGCATACAGGTATTTGAGAGACCAAGAGATTCGAACTTTAAGACCACAAGTAAATGCGACAGAAATTGATAATGCACGAACATGGTCAACTAAAAGTGTTTGCGATATCGAAGCTGATCGTTCTCGATATGGTCAAGTAATTCGATGTGAAGCCAATCATCCAGCATATCCGACTTTAACTTCTAATATTGAAGTGCGATTTGATGTTACATGTAAGTTAAAAATTTTATATCATTCAAAATATGGTATCTTAAATTTTTAATAAATATTTCATTATAGTTGAAAATTTGTAAAAATATTGAAATGTTTGTTGTTTTTTGTTTCTCTCTTTAAACACAATAACAACTTAAAATGTTATAAAAATGAACCTTAGACCTGTTGCGAATATTTTATTTTACATCTTCTAAAACTTGAATTTAAGTAAATTGATAAACTGTTAGATAGACGCTTATATAATATTTCAACTAGGACTCTTTAATTCCGATAGATGCACCAGAAACACGACTAGTAGGAGTTCCAATTGGACAGTTAGAAGAAGGACGAGATAGAGTAGAAATTCGTTGCTTGGCAAACGCTAATCCAACTGCATCAATTCTATGGAAACGGATAAAAGGTGCAGACATGGAAGTTGTGAGTATTGGTGAGGCTTTAATATATTCACCAATTCACCGAAATCACGCTGCTACGTATGTTTGTCTCGCTTCCAATACTGAAGGCGAAAGTAGTCCAGTATCTATCCAAATTACTGTCAATTGTGAGTATTTTTTATTAACAAAATTTCTTTTTAAATTCTTCAGTTGTCATAAATTGACGTTTTCCAATAGATGCACCAAAAATTGATTCCGTCGGACCGGATCGATTATCAACAGCTCTACTTTATTCAGGAGCGTCATTTGAGTGTAATGCAGATGCTATGCCTCCCGCTGATTATCAGTAAGTTTAACCCTTCTGGTTTTATTCTATTATTTCATATAATGTTTACCACTTTCATTTAGATGGCAGCAAATTTTCAATGATAATCGACCACCAATCGATTATGGAAAGGGTCAACGATTAATCTTGACAAATGTGACATATGAACAACAAGGCCAATATATATGTATTGCTTCGAATACGATAAATGGCAAGACACGACAAGTTAAAAGCACTCCAGTAACACTGGAAGTTGTTGGAGCACCAAAAGTAATTTTTCAAATTTTTTTAATGTCATTTGTATAATCTTTTATATTCTAATTCATTCATTATTTTCTTTTTTTTTTCTTTTTGCTTTTTTTCTATAGATAATAAAACCATTGAACAACGAAAAATATGTGATATCAACAACAGAGACAAGTCCTGCTCGACTGGAAATTAGATTATGTTCAAATCCAAAACCACGTTTAGTTGCATGGGAATGGGGCAACAGCATAAGACTTCATGCAGGTTTAATGACTTTTGTCATTAAATTTTTTTTTTTATTTCTAATTTTATTCTTACTCATCAATATTTAATGTTTAAATTGACCATTTATTTATTAATTTTTCATTTAGGAGAAGTATTGGAATCAAGATATCGAGCATTAGATTTGGAACCACTGCCAACATTAGAAGATTGTTTTATAGCAATTTTAGAGCTTACGAGTACAGTAAAAGAAGATCAAAGATTATATTACGTAATAGTGGAAAATGATCGCGGAAGTGACAGGCGTGCACTCATGTTACGAGTTGATGACCCAGACCAAGTAATTAATATACTTGTTATTTGAAAAAGTAAAAAAAAAAAAAATTACGAATATTTTTTAATTGTTATGGTTATTATAATAGATACCACTGGTTATTGGTGCCGTCGCAGGGTTTACCGTCATTTCAGTAATGGTAATGGCATTTATATGTTTTCTTCGTTCAGATAAATGTTGCGCTTCCCAACCAACCACACTTCAGCCAGTTGATTGGTAATTATTATTATTATTATTATTATTATTATTCATAAGTATTTTTATTTCTATAAAAAAAAAAAAAAATCAATGATTTATCATTTTCCAGTAACAAGTCTCTAAATACTGTAGTAGTAGATGACTGTCTGAGAAATACTGCCGATAATTCAATTACCGAAAAACGTCATAATCAAATATTGAAACCTGTTCCTACACAACAACAACAACAACAACAGCAACAATACCTACAACAAGACTGTTTTCAATTTAATGAATCTCATTATCAAAGACAACAACATCATTATAGTCATCAACAAATTCATGCACCGCAATATACATTACAGGTAATACAAGTAAAATTTTGCAAAGGCCAATCATTTCGAATTGTAATTAATATTATGATCAATGTTGTAGACGGAACAGCTATTCTTGAAACCCGATCGTTTGGCAACATTGAAACATCCATCATCATCATCGTCGTCAAACAAAAAAGAAAAAACACCACAATATGCAACATTCAAACCAAATATGAATCGTTAAAAGTTATTTTCCATCAATTAAAATTGAATTACGTCTAATCAAAATAAATATTTGTATTGATAAATTTATTAAAAACATGATTGTTTATTTAATGTTGTATAAAAATGGTTTTTTGAATTAATGAAAAATTTTATTATAAAAAGAGATTATTAGACTAAAATTGTCAAAACTCTTGATAATGTCTGTAAATATATATATGTAAACGTAAACTTTTGTAAAGGCAATATTATCAATTTTTTTTTACAATAAATTTTTTTTCAATTTCAATACATATAAATTTAAAAACTTATTGTGGTTGACTATTTGCTTGCAGTACTACTTGCACACAATTTTATAATCTACTCTTTTGTTATACCTTTCACCAATTTAACTTTAAAAATAAAAAATTTTAAAGTGAAGAATATAAAGATACAAGAAATACTCCAAAAAGACCGCAAATAACTATTGATATATGTATATTAGTATTTACGTATTGAAAGTCAAAACAAATATAGAAACATTATATTGTCAGCTAATCCATTTTTAGTCCAAAAATCTCCGCAATTATCGTAGAGAAAAATTGTTATCAATAGAGCAACTATTACCGACGTACACGGGTAGTTATAACGCCACCTAGTAGTGAGATACGGAAACTTTTTTGTTAGAAACCAAGTCGGAATATTAATATGAGATTGGGTTTCTATACTAGTCTCTATGTTCTTTGCATAGATTTTAGTGTTTTGCCTGCCATTTTTCTATTACCTATTATCTCAAGAAAAATTATTTAATTTCAGTGATTTAAACTAAAAATTTATCCATTTACGTATCAAAATAGAAAATTGTTACGAAACATTTATTGAATAAAATTAAAAGTTACTTTTTGTACAAACATAAATTATCTAAACATGTTATTAATTGATCTTCCTGATGTTGTACTCGAAACGATTTTGTCTAATTTATCTTACGATGAAATTGCTAAAAATCGCCTTGTAAGTTTTTATATAAATAATATATTTTAAAAATAATTTATTAGTATTAATAAATTATTATGTTTTCAATAGGTTTGTAAGCATTTTGATCGTACATGCCAAAAGTTACTCAATCGTGGATTCAGTTTGATGGAAAAATATCATGCACAATGCTTACGAACAGTCAAAAGTCAATTACCTCGCAGAGAATCAGAACGTAGGAGTCATCCTCTAGCTAGACATTGTGACGTATTGACAGCTATTGAAACTCGTATTTCCATGTTATCTATGACATTTATAAAATATGTCAACTTACATCTTTGTTGTTTTATACCTGGAAAGGTAAGTGGTTATTTCTTAATCAATAACACGCATTGTTGATTTAAATATATTTTATTTTTATAATTTATAAATCATAGGTAATTGATGAAATTTTTCGCGTTTTGCGTTTAATAAGAGACTCAAAAACTCCACCTCGAGCTCACGAAATACTCCAAGAACTTCGGGATATTAGCAGTATGGCAATGGAACACTTTGATGAAAAAATTTTACCAGCACTCAAACACAGTATTGGATCATCAGCAGCTGCAGCAGGAGTCAGTGGTGTTGGAACATTTGAATTACCCGGTGGTAGTTTTATGATTTCGCATCATCACCACAGTGGAGGTCCTTCATCGACTTCTTTTCAGACTGTCTCTTCAGATAAATTAAATCAAACGTTTAAGAAAATTTATAATAGAACTAAAAAGAATAAGTTATCATTTTTATCAGTAAAAAGTAGATTAAGTAAATTACGTTTACGTATGAAACGACAAGGCTGCCAAATGCGTCTTCAAAGTGTAAAATTACAAGAACAGTCGAAAAAAATACATGAACAAGATTTACAAATTGCTGAAATGCGTAGACATTTAGAAGAATGGGAACAAAAAATGGGAGATTTGACAGCTGAATTAAGTCGTGCACGGGAAGAATCTCAAAAACCTGAACCAATTGACGGTCAAATTAAACGAAAACATATCATTAATCAAGTAGATGATAATATGAACAAAGATTTACAAGCAAAAAAAAGGAAACTTATCGTTGAGCGGAAAGTTTCTAGTGATGCTAAAGATATTAAATTTAAAAAATACGTTAATAACCTTTTGAGTAATAATAATTCCACAGATAGTTAATTCGAATAAATTTTTTTCTAATAAAAATTGTAATCATTATTTCAATGTTCATTTTTATAGATATTATTGTATTGTTAAAAAAAAGCATTAATGTATTAAAAATGCTCACATTACAAACAATTTATCTTGTTTGATATTGGATTCAGTCGTATTCTCTTCAAATCTACGTGTAAAGTCTTCAGCTTGTCTTCTGTCCATCTAGTCTCACGTAAACACATCTTATTGCAATTTATAGGGACAGAGGTAATTGTTCCAAAATTTTTTTTAAACATTGTTTTTTTATGTATCAAATTAATTTGTTTTTCATCTAAACGAGAATCATTAAAATTATTTTTTTTCTTTTATTAATAAATAATTTCATTACCTTATGAAGACTGATTATTAAACTTACGTATTAATAAATTATCTTCTTTTTGCAAGTAATTATGCTGTAAATTTTTCTCTCTATATTTAACACCTAATTTTCTCAACTCTCTATTCATATCAAATTTTATCCGATTTATTTCTTTGTTTTTTAAATAATTCAAGTATGTAGAAAACTTTTCAAGTCTCATGATTAGTTTTTTTTTTTTATCACAATTTTTTATTTTCATTATTTTATTTATCCCATCAAGTTTCGAGTTTACTGTTAACTGTAATTCCTATGCAAAATAAAAATAATATATTAAACAAGTAAAAAATATAATTTTTTTTTAACTGAAAATTGATTTACTTTATTACGAAATGCCCATTTATCTTTATCCATTTCTGTGATTAAATTTTTATAACATTGAAAATTTATTTTAGAGTCAAGAGGAGGTAACACTAGTTCCCATGCTTTTTTTATGTCAATTTTTTTGATGATATTTAATTCATTTATACCCGCAGGTAATCCATTATCCCAAGTTAAACTGGTTAGAGTAAGCACTGCAGGAGTACTTTCTGTATTAATAATAAAAAAATTTAATATTATGCATAAGATAAATTACTTATATTTTATTACCGGATATAATGGGTGGCTCCCAAGGAATAGTTTGAGTTTCACCATCTCGATAATTAGTCAGAGTATTTTTAGATAAAGTTTGTAAACAAGATTCACAAGTTCCAAAAATTTCATCTATAAATATATTCTTTTTCAAGTTACACTGCATTAATTCAGATATAACAGTTTGGACTTTATAAAAATTTTAATGATAACGAAACAAGCACCCAGTATTGATCAAACTCGTTGAGATAAATTTATTAATGTGGAGTATAAAATGAAAATTATATAATTGAAAATACTCTATTAAATATTTCTCAAGAAACTATTAAAATATCGAAAGATGATATTTGTACTCAATAGTTTGAAAATTAATATATGTATATATAGAAATTTTCAACTTTAACAATTATTAACACTTTGATTACATATGTAACATTACAATTCAATAAATTCACTCAATTGATTATTCATATAAGTGAATGTATTTTTTAAAATGATGTAATAAAATAATATATTTAATTTTTTATAATAATATTTTTAGTAGATATTTATTGAAAATTTTTAAATATGTTATTTAAGAAATGGCAAAAAATATCCATCTCCTGATTGTCCTAAATGTGCTGGCCATCTTTGATGAATTGAAATATTTTTACATGATTGTCCAGATAATAAATCGTCAGGACAAATACATTCCAACTTAATTCTATACACGGTCATTTGTCCAAAATTAGTATTTTCGTTACGTATTTTTTCTTTATATGATTGATAATTAATGCCACGATCAGCTAGACATTCTTCAATATTATTTTCGCGTTCGTACAATGTTAGTTTTCGCATAGCTTTTTCTTCTTTAATACGAATACACTCAAGATCTTGCTGTAGAAGAGATACTTTTGATGGTGGTAGCCAGTATGTTGAAAAAATTAAATCCACAGACACTTTGTTAGAATTATTTGACAATGATGGTAATATAAGTCCTGTTTGGGGTTGTCTTTGAATACTTTGATTTATTTCACTATCGAGATTACGTTTTTTTCTTTCAAGTAAAGAAGCATCAACAAATTCATTTTGTTCAATCTCATGTTTTAAATTATCATTAGATGGTTCATTATATCGAACATTATTTTCTAATCGTAAAGTATTCCAATCCAATTCATCATCAGGAAAATCATTCGACATTTTTGGCTTAAAATCAGTACCATAATTAGAATAAATATTTTTTTTATCATTACCATCATCATCATCATCATTATCAACAACTATTGGATATTTTTCATCTTTGACTGAATTTATTCTCAAAATATTTGATGACTGTTGAGCCATCATTGGTCCATTTTCCATTCCATTATTTATTTCGTCTGTAGATAAAATTGAATCAAATCTATTTTCACTTTTCTTAAATTGATAATCAATAGAATTATTTAATTCGACTGATTTCCAATCTTTGGAAAAATACAAAGACTGTCCTGGTGGTCCAATATGCTGACTCATGGCCATTAATCGTGTATTTAATGTTGTATTGAACTTTAATCTACATAAATTTGCATGACTTACTGATAAAAGAGTCTGACCTTGTGAAAAATGATATCTATATTCCATATTATCATGATTTAGACAATTGGCTGACCAATATAAAAACCAATCGTTACCAGATCCATCAACTGAAAGAGATAAACCAGACATTTGTCCATTTCCACTGTCTTTTATTGGTTCTTCTAATAATGGTTTCCCTGTTCTACCGTCCAAAATGGTTGATAAAGAATATATTGGATCAATTTGGTGTTTAACCATAATGTCAGGAATACTATCGTCATTATAATAACCAGGTATAGGTATACTTATTACTTTTGAATCAGGTACTGTATAGTTCCAGATTAACTCAAAAGTTAAACCATCATAAGCGGTAATTTTTGAATTCAATGATGACACTATAATATCAGCTGTACCATCTAATGTTACATCAACTAAAATAGGGGCTAGTAAAATTCCACTACCATGTTGTAATGTTTTTAAATTTGCCTAAATAAAGAAAAATATAATTATTGTTGAAAAATATTAAAACTAAGAAAGTAAAAATATATAATATCTTACCAAATTTGTGTACAGAAAATCAGTTTGAGAAATTATATAGAGCCCTCCTTGCAACTGTACAGAAGTACTTGAAGATAGTAAGTAAATTATTTCTCCATCTGGATGAATTAATATTTGTGGAGCAATAAATAATTGTTCATGTTTCGAGAATTCGACAGTTTTTATAATATCTCCTTTCTTTCCAGAAAAAATGACAATTTCACTAAATCGTAAATTTCCTGCTTGTATTGTATGCGAAGCTATCACATCACCGATGTTATCATCATCAACATCATCAATGAAACGTGCATCATAAACATTCAGAACAATTTCTTCATTTGGAAAATCTTTGATAGAAATTTGCCAAATGATGCTTCCGTCATGTCCATTTATAACATGTAATATTCCATCACGTCCAGTTATTATACAATCTTTTATCTTATCATCATTGATATCTTGTGCACAATCAATTGAAAAAATTGCATGTTCTGTCCAATGTGTCCATAATGTTTCACCGTTTTTTCCATTTAATGCCAAAATTCCTCCTAAACATGGTGGTTGTTTATTGAAATAGAGATTGCAGAGGAAGGATGGCGCATCAAGCGTGTCTAATCCTAGAAAAAGATTAATTAATAAAATGAGATTATGAAGAGATATAATTATACAATAAAAGTAAATAAATCAACTCACATATTATAATATGTTTAAACGAAAAATAAATCAACTGATTTTATAAAATCTAAAATGAAAAAAAAAAATAAAAAAGAAAACAATAAAAACATAAAATAACAACTATATATAATAATAATGATAATAATAACAATAATAATAATAATATTTCGTGAGTATTTTAATTATTAAAACCTGTACTGAATCCAATAATAATGTCATCGATATTATCATTATTAACATCCAAACTTCTTAAAGGAGCTTCTGAAGTTAATTTAGGTAATGTTTTGACCCAAACAACATTTGAAGCGAGTGAAGTACAAGGTGGAATATCGGTGGCATTCGTAATCGATTTTACTTTAGCAGGAAAAAAATTTTGTATAACATTCAAAGGTACAGGGAATATATTGATTATTATTACGCAGAGTGGAATCAATCCTAAAAGTATGACTAGCGCCATTAGTCCGTAGCAGATAGGTAACAGTAAAGCTCTTGATGATATTTTTTGATGTTTAAAATTCATTTGAGCTTTTCTTCTTGGTGCCATTAATGGCCTTTTTACTCCACCATCATCATTAATTTTTTTTCCTCCACTAATTTTTCCATCTCTTATAAATACTTCATCATCAATATCAGTCAAATCTTCATCATCAAAACTATCTTTTACTGACAATCGAGGTAGCGATGGATATATGTTTGCCATTGTTGTTTATCTAAAATAAAAATATAAATTTTAATAAATTTCACAATTTTTTATTCGAATATTTACCTTTATCATAGATAATTACATAATATACATAACAAAATATTTATAAATTTTTTAAATTATCCTGAAATTATTCAAAGAATACATACTTTTTAATATATTTGTATTGATTTAATTTAATCCATTGTAAATATAAAATTAAGTTGAACAAAAAATTATAATAAAACTTTTTTTCACTTGCTGAATATTTGAACTGGTATAAATATACAATATCTATACTGTATAATTATAACACCGAAAATTAAACAACAAGTGTCGAAAGGAATAGCTTCATTTCTTTTCTCAACAACATGCGCATGTCTATTTCTACAAATATAATAGATATGTATATTTTTTGTCAATTATGTACAACACCTATATCAATGATATTAAATCTTAAAAGTATTAAAATTTTATCATATCATTTAATAGGATTATTTTATCTTTACCAACGATAATTTATAAATATTGTAATTAAGTGAATTTTCAATTATTATGTAATCAATCATTTTGATTATTCAAAAAATCGCGCTTCTAATCATTTGAAAGTTTAAAAAAAATCCACTAGATTCGCTAAAGTTCAATTCCTCCTTCTTTCCCTTACTTCATTCAAATTGTTTCGATTGGACAATTTTATTAGCCAATAATCATTCGATGCGCACAATACTTTTTAAATATAAAAAAATTTATTAATACGACATATTCCAAGCGTTATCGTGTCATTATTTTGATATGCATAGAATTAAATAATATAAACATTAATTTTTTGTAACTAATAACAGTGAAATATTTCATTATAAAATAAATAAAATTCATGATAAATTTAAAGTTATATTGAAAACAATACAATTATATAATTATGCACCCGGATATCCGACTTTAATAATAGAATCTTTAATTGGAAACGATGGCAAATATATTTAAAACAAATCAATTATCTTGACTTTGAAGAATCACTGCAAGGTTAATATAAACCATTACACATAGATATACATATATCTATATTTATCTTTACAACTGTTGTTTTTCGATCTATAACTTTGAAAATAAACATTAAAATATCTAAATGAAATAATTAATACGCCTAATTAATAAATAATTGAGATAAAATAATTATTAAATGTCGATTATTGTTGTTACATGAATCTCTTATTATTAATATTACTCGTTGAATTATTTTTATTATACATATTACCAATAATGGTGAATTAAATAGTGTTCAGAAATATCCAATTCAAGTGTCAATTATACAAGATTTATCTTCAAGATGCACAAGTTTCACATTCAAAGAATAATATTTGTGTTCTGAGAAGGAATTCACATGGGACGTTGACTCTGTGCTCTTGGAATTCTATTAACGCGTCCAATCTCATGCGACTTCTCAACTACCACCATAATATTTCTTCACAATTGGCAGACTATTATTGATTATGAAAAAATGACTTGATAAAATATTTTCCCCATAACGAAAAAATTAAAGACCACATTGTTTACTTGATCATATTATTCGAGTTGCGATTATTACGATAAGTTGGAAATAGGAAAAAAGAAATAATTATATGAGGTGTAAGACAAGTGTGACTCTTGGTGCAATGTAGTCTAGCAGTATCAATATAATGATCACGACACAGTTGTATCCCCTTCCACCTGGCGCCTTGTGTGATTCTTTTTCGCAAAAACACACACGTCTGCCGCACTAGTGAAGCAAGTCTTTATAAGTAGAAGCCATCCGAGTCCCTGGGACTTACTCCTTGTCAGGACGTACCACGATCAGGAATCGTGATAAAGAGACTGATTTACAGAAATCCCCAAGAAATTTCTTGGATCCATTTCAGTAATTCTCTTACAAGTCAATATTTTTTGACTAATTTTCTTCATTTATTTTCATTGAAAAAATATTATACTATTCCTTACACTTTATTTATATTTTTATGTTGATTAATGAAAAATTTTTGTTAAATAATTGAGTTAAACACTCACGACTGTATTTGATGGTGACAAGTGCGAGCACACAATCATCTTCTACTTATAATGATCAGGCAAGGGTAAGTAGAAATTCAAATTAATCACTTAAAGTACTATTCAAATACTGATTTTATTTATATTTGTGTTAATTTACCAATTTAATTAATTGATATAATCATATATATTAAGATAATAATAATAATAATAATAATAAAGGATAAAGAAAATAGTAAATTACAGAAATAATGGTAAATAGATGTACGCTCCACAAAATTGAATCTCCATTGCATCATATAATTATCATTGTAATTTATCTATTGTCCTTCAAAATAATCGAGGTCAATGTCCATATTTATCTCAAGATTTCTGCAATAGATACCTTAAATATTAATTTCACGTTTCAGTTTAATTAATTTTTAATTATAGTGAAATAAATATGACATCAATTATTTTATTTATGCAGACACTCTTGTGTATTGTCATGGACAAACTTCTTCCTCTTTACTTGTACCCGAAATTCAAGTTATAATTTTCCTTCTTCACTCTTTATACTTGTATCACTTTTCATTTGATATCAAAATTAATTATATTTAGTCGATGATATCTATAGATAATGATCAATTAACGATTCATTAATCTTAATATTTGTATCAATTTTTGTAGACGATAAAATTTTTATTAATTAAAATAGCAGTAGTTGACATTGAATCTAAGGTACTGTGTTTTAAAACCGCGTAGGAGTTTCCATAAACGGAAGGAAAAGAATCAGTACTATCAGAGTGACTTCCCTTGTTCATCCTTAGCCATTTTTCACGCCATTAAAATACCACTTGAACTTTTTTTAAAAAATATCTTTAAACTTTTTTCTTCAATAAACAGTGCATCAAGACATATTTACTATAATATCATTCAAAAGGGTGTTTGTGTAAAATAGGTATCAATCATGGTAATCAAGGTAATCTTGGTTCTTAGAATAAATCATTAGCTGTATAATAAAGAAAAAGAAAAAAAAAAAAAGGTAGAGGATGTGCTAAAGGGAAAATGCGGATAAGAATATAGCCTAAGTGTAATATAAGGAATGATAATGGATGTAGTGAGAGGAAAACTCTTAAAAAAAGGCAAGAAAAGATCAAAACACGTACAAGTAATTTTAACTTGTGTCCCTTTAATTACAAATATCTATAGGTAGTATGTAAGAAACTTACAAAGAGGATAATTGCAAAGAATCAGTTGACCTCTTGTGTTATTGTCCTTCTCATTGTTGTCGTCATCATCACAACCATAGTTATTGTCGTCATTACCATTGTTAATGTTGTTGTTGTTGTTGTTGTTGTTTTTGTTGTTGATGATGATGGTAATGTTGTCATCATAATTATCAACGTTATTGTAGTAAATAGTAGTGGTCATTATCACCATCTCATCAACGAAAAAGAAAATAGAAACTTTATGCCGTAGTGTACCTTGCGGCCTTGCAAATAACCGCGTCAAGGTTGTGCTCTTACCCAGTCCAGTCTATCTATATTGCAATAATAGCCGGGTTCACCTCATCATTTTGCTTGTTACTGAATCTTCACTTACAGAGTACCTACTCGAGTACATACATTTATAAATAATGACGTTTTATTCATACTACTTTTATTTTTTGCTTCCCTTTAATAGCTTGCACACTTGACTTTGTAAAATTTCACAGAAAATACGTGACTAAATATACTATTTTTCTTTCATCAACTCATACGGAAATAGCATAAGGGCGTTTGAATTTTATTTAATTTATTCTTTCCTAAAAAAAGGTAAAAATTTTAATTAAAATTATACACATCATTCCTGGTCATACAAAAGCCAGTGATATCAATTGAATAAATTGTATATTATTCAATGATTCAGAGCCAATAAGACCGTTAAAATATTTTCTGTGATGAAAAAAATTAGTTTTTATTGATAAAAAAACAAAATATTTCGGTACAGTAAACTCATTAATTATTAATATTGCCAAGTATTCATAGCTCGTTTATGTTGTGTAAATGACTCACATTTGTTGCGAAATAACACAGTTGATGTATTCTGGATTATGATGAATATGAAACACCGTTGACCGTTAGCTGTTGAAGGAAGTAGAAATTTGGAATTCAATGTCTTGAATACACACAATTTGTCTTTCAATTATAATTTATGATAAATTTATTTTAAAATTAGCTCAAATAATTGATACGGCATACCTTAAACATGAAATTAATTTATTTATCAAGTAACATTGAAAAATAAACTGAAAGGTGTAATGTCACTGACACTTCAATTACATATTACATTCATGTAATTTTCTGCATTATGTCATAATGATCGTGATAGTAAGCGAAATTAACCCCCACGAGATATCATTCCCCTCATAGTATGTACAAGAGAAAGGCTCATTGTCTGACTTTCTTGATCCTTCAAATTCCTATAAATGATTCAAGCATTTTAATTTTTTTATTCTTGATAAAGATCAATTATTCAATAGCCGTATAGCAATCTTTTGCCATATTCTTTAAATAAACATTACTCATTTTTCGTCTTTACCGTTTCAATAGAGATTTTTTATTGGATATCCGCCAATTCTAACGATTAAATAACTGTCAGAGTGAGATTCAATCGACTTTTTATGCAGGAATTTCAACTTAAACAACTGTTTTATTTTTTTCGTGATTTGAAAAAATACTATTGATCGATAAATCATAATTTTCATTCTTATATAATTATATCAATTATCTAATTTTATTTTCAAATAAACTCATCAAATCTTCAATTATTGATTTAAAAAATGTATAAAAAAAAATTTTTCCGCTAAATTATTTATTGATTCTAATGAGTATAATTAATTTGTTATAACAGAGATACAAAAAAAGAATTACCAAAGCTGGTTTGGAGTTCAGCAGTGAAGACATTACTACTTGTGGCATCTCTAATTTATCGAGGTATGCTAAAGTATTCTTAGCTCTGACCATGTAATATAGACTAAAAAATAATAATCTATGGTGGCATACGTGTATTGAATTATGTACTCGTCTATTGAGATACTCAAACTATTTTTACCCACTTGCTGATTGGAAGTTTAAGAATCTTTTCTGCGGATGTTGCTGCCGTCAAACAGGTTTCACGAGGACAGCCTTCAATATCTTATATTGCTAAAGCCCTTGGCGATTCAACAGATATGCTCTGTACATTTTCATTCTCATCATTTATTATCTGGGCAATTGCTTCAGCTATGAGTTTTCTCCCTAGCATATCAATTATCATCCAAGGGATAACTTGTTTCAATATCTTTATAACATTAAAAAATATCATTTCCATTTTTCTACGATAAAAACTATAATAAATTACTATAAATATAAACATAAATATTGATCAACCACTTTTAAACCTATAATCATAAATATAAGCATTTAAATAATTATCATTTTTCTATATATGTACAGAAGTCAATGCTCAGAATCATTATCAATGCATCAAAGAAGGTTACCATGCAGATCCCAAAGATTGTCATGTATATTATAGATGTGTAAATTGGGGCACTACTACTTCTGAATCTCCATCACCTTTGACTAAATTTAAATTTGAATGTGGACCAGGAACAGTTTTTTCTCACATAAAAGGAAACATTTGTGTTCATCCAAATGATAGTGAAAGACCAGAGTGTAGAAAATCAGAAAATGATTTAGACTTTAATATGAATGACTACGAAGATAATCAAGAGGAAATATATCCACATCCATCATGGCCTAGTTCTTCAAGACGACCGAGTAATTATCCAAGTTATATTCCTCCAGGATATCCAAATGAAGGATATACTTCAAATGGTCAACAACGACCAAATAATAATCCATCTTACATTCCTCAAATGGATACAAACCAAGGGTATACTCCTGAATCTTTACCGAAACCGAGTAATATTCCTTCTTATATTCCTCCATCTGTTGATAGTACGACATACAAATCAACCAGTGGGACAGAAGGACTCATAGAATCCGCCGAATTATTACCTCCACCTGTAACGGGAATAGATAATTCTGGCTGTTCGCGAGAAGGTTTCATGGTTCATCCTAAAGATTGTAAAAAATTTATTCGATGTGTTAGTAATGGTACCGGATATTATCAAAAGTTTGAATTTACTTGTGGCGAAGGAACATTATGGGATTCAACAATTGAAGCCTGTAATCATGAATGGGCAGTTAAAGGTAACTGTTTCTCTGAACCAACATCCACTCAAAGTAATGATTCTGGAACAACTGATTCGTATCAACAATCGACTAATAAAAAATCAACTGTTCTCATTAAACCTACTCAAAGTTCTGGATATTTACCACCTTCCACTTTACGCCCAGTAACTCCTAAACCATCTCAAACCCAATTACCAATTGGTTCACTTTCTACAATAACTCAGGAACCATTAACTCCATATCCGTCAACTCCTTCATCTTTTGACATGACAAGTATTACTCCGACAATGACTACTCAAGCAAATTATACTCCTCAAAGTATTTCTAATGATGATTGTATTGTAGAAGGCTTCTTTTCGAATCCCGAAAATTGTCGAAAGTTTTACAGATGTGTTGCACAGGAAGGACAAAAACTGATCAAGTATGAATTCGAGTGTGGTGAGGGTACAGCTTGGGATACCAATATTCAAGCTTGTAATCATGAATATATTGTTTCTGAATGTAATTCGTCTTTTAATAATGGATCAACAGACGCTTCATTAACAGGAACAATAAACAATGACGAGAAAAAAAATAAAACAACAAGTGAAAAAGACTCAAATACGACAAAAGAGCCAGAAACTTTTACAAAAGAGGAATTAAAACCATCTAATGATATTACTGGCTTTAGTTCTTTCAAACCCACTTCTACAACTATAAGTATGTCTACTATCAAAGAAGAAACAAATCCTACAACTGAAAGTTCAATATCTACAGAAACTTTAATGCCCACTGAAACCTCAACATCTTCTGAAGCTATCATATCTGTATCAATGACTTCAATATCCGACGTATCATCAACAATAACTACAAGTACATCACTATCGTCAACGAATACAACTCCAAATGAACAACTTGCTATATCAAAATGTAAAGATGAAGGATTTTATGCAGATCCCAATGATTGTCATAAATTTTATCGATGTGTCAAAACAAACGGTAAATACACAAAATATAATTTTGAGTGTGCTCCAGGAACTGCTTGGGATCAGTCTATATTAACTTGTAATTATGCTCATTTAGTATCATTATGTAGTCCTGAAACTAATGAAATTCCTAGTTTTACTAAAGAAACAGAAAAACCTATGGATTCAACTAAAAAACCAAAAGAAAATGATTATAGTTCTTCTATGACGCCAACGACCATCTTTGCTTCTACTACTACTACTACCACCAGTAGTAGTACTCAAGCAAATATAGAGGCAATAACAACAAATAAAAATAACGAAAGTAATGAAAATAATAATAAAGATACTGAACCAACAACGGAAAGTTTAGAAAAATCTTCTACAACAATGGAAACTCTGTAAGCTATTTATATAATTATAATTTATTGATAATATATCAGAAAAATTATAAAACAAAATAATAAACAAAAAATTATTTTTTTTAGGAATACATCCGATTTATCGACAACAGACTCCAATACATCAGGATCAACGAAGCCTAATTTATTGAATGATAAGATCAAGTGTGACTCAACAGGATTTTATCCACATCCAACGCAATGTGATAAATTTTACCGATGTGTAGATAACGGAAATGGTTACAATATTTATCATTTTAATTGTGCTCCTGGAACAATATTTGATCCAAGTATTAGTGTCTGTAATTATCCAGAATCGATTTATCCACTAAGAGATTGTAGTGGTAATCCTTCCAGTTCATCTTCATCTTCACCGAGCACCACGGTTATGTCTCCAATAAATACTAGTGAAACAGAAATTACTACACAAATATCAACAACAACATCTCTAGATATTGATGAAGGAACAACAACAGAATTTACTGAAGAGACTACTGAAATTGAAATTACAACTGAGGGTTTAGATCAAACAAGTACGGAAAAAGATATAGACACTTCAACAATGTCAACTGAAGGAATGATCGAGTCAACAACTATAGAAGAATCAGGTTCTACTGCAACAGAATCTGATAGTAAAACAAGTACTGAGCCAACAACGGAAACAGAAGCAGAATCAAGTACTGATAGTGATAAACCTATTACTACTACTACTACTACTATTGAACCTGATATCTCATTACCAGTTGCTCCTTGCACATTAGGAAACTTGACAGACGAGCAGATTGTTCTTGTATGTCCAACAGGTTTCCGACGTCATCCTAAATATTGTAATATGTTTTATCAATGTACTTCTGAAGGTAACATGGCAATAAAGATCTTAGTTCTTGTATGTCCGGAAAATACAATCTTCGATGAAGAAAAAGTACAATGCCTTGCAGAAAGTGAAAATTCTCAACCATGTAATACTGAACTTACACCTGCTAGATTTTATCGACAAATTGAAAAATCATCTATACAACCTGTAAGTTAATGACGTGATATCTTGATAATTCATCATAATTGAAAATTTTTTTTCAAAAATGAATATATATATACATAAATTCTATTTACAGATAAGAGCAACACGTGACAGTTTGTGTCCGGGAGAAGGTCATTACCCCTACCAAAAAGGTTGTAGTAATGTTTTCTACAAGTGCAAAAGAAATCAGAAAAATTCCCTTCAAGGCTACTTGTATAGATGTCCTAATGACTTTGTATATTGGTCAGTATCTCGACGATGTGAAAAAGCAAGTCGATTACGCACGTGTTCTCAAGAACAACACGATAAAGATAGAGAAGAAATAGATACATGGAACAAACGTTGGGAGTTACCTATTGAAGATTCTAATCTTTCAGCGCGTATGATTCATTTTTAAGATAACATATCATTGATCAATTAACATCGTATAAGTATATTTTCTTCCTTCTTTTTGCTACAAATTATTGAAAAAAAAAAAATCATCATCTACAGTAAAATCTTTGTACGACTTTTTTTATTAGAAATTGATATAATAAAAGTCGTACAACGATTAATTTGGTTGAGGGACTCTTTCATTTTATCATGAAATAATTTATTAATAGTGTCACCTTTTTTCTAGAATAAGAAAATCAATCAAAATATTCTATTAATTTTTAATTTTAAAATGTAGTCATCTAAATTGTATATAAAATGCTCTTTTTTAAAATAAAAAGTTGTAAAAAATAAATTTATTTAGAAAAAAACTACTTTATTGTATTAAATATTCATTTATTTTATAATCTTTTCATTTGTAATTGAAAAATAGTACATTGAAATACATACTTAAAAGAATCCTCAAACTATTCAATTTTATGATAATATTTTGAATGTAAAATAAAAACTAATCACAGTATTCCATTGAATGATATATGTGATAAATAAATCTTATTTACAATTATACGTAATAGGCATGAAAGTAGATTACTGCTGGAAACTAAAATGACATCCCAGATTGTGACCTTGTATATGATACTCTAGAAAAGTAGCATATAACTTCATCACAAATAACAATTATGAATTATTTTGTTATTGAAAATTATGGCAGCATCTATCCATATATTATTCAATTTTGTACATTAAGTTCAATCGTAAATTGATACATATTATTATGACTCAAGTTTTTTTTAGTAAGATATTTTATATTTAATATTATTGAAAACTAATAATAAATCCTTAAATTATACATTCAATATTTATTCGTAGTAAAAGAATGGCTGAAAATTTTTAAATATTGTTAAAATAAATTTGTTAAAAAATTCTTTTTTTTTCGTTTAACAGTTTTCAATTTTACACAATATAACAATAATAACAATAACAATTAAAATATAAATATGTTTTTTTTTATAATAAAAAATTGAATTTATAATATAAACATTTTGTTTAATAAACGTTGAAAATTAATTGAATTGATCCCTATACTATGCTTTAAAGATTTATACCATTTGGTTTGAATAAATATCAATTTATGGGGTTTGAATTAGTGAAATAAACGATTCAAAAGTTAATTAATTTTTTTATAAATATTCATAATTGTATTATGGTAGTGTATTATAGTCAAAAAACTTAACAAGTGTACTAATTACTTTTTAGGACAACTTAACACTGACTCATTAAATATTAAAGTGTAATTAATAAAGTAATCATATTAATTTGATAAACAATAATTTATGTATATATAATTACGATTCATCTGATATTAAAAAGTAAAACTGTTTACTCACATGAAAATGTTTTAAACTTATTGATTAGCTTAACTTACTGCGTAGTTTCATTATTTGATGTATAATATTCAAGTTTTTAATATACACTTTGATTTATCAATTAACTTGCCACTGAAAAAAGCAAAACAAATTGACATGGAGGCATTGACATTATTTTAAATTTTTCGTATTGATGATTTATTTAAAAGAATTTTAACTTACTTTGAGAGGTATATCTCTATCTGCAGTAGCCAATTGTTCGTTTTGTTGTTCTCTAGCAATACTCTTTTGTTGTTGACGTTTAACTGCATCAACATTTCCTATTCCTCTTTGTTCTTGTTCTTTCATTCTTCTTTCAGCAGCTTCTACTTGTTGTTGTCTTCTTACTTCCTACAAATAAATAATTATTGTACTTATAAATGTTTTTTCAATACAAAATTTAATTAATAAATTCAATAACAATGTTAACTCCAATCTGACGACAAGTGTAGATATGTAAAGATGAACAATTCTATTTTTCTCAGTAATAAATAAATATAATGACAATAATAATAATAATGACCCACCGGATCAGGTGTTAAATCCTCGTACGTAGATGAATCTTGACAGCAAGATGCACACAAATTGCCCATTGTTTTATTTTCTAATAATCTTTTATATACCTACACTTTTAACTACAAATAAAATAATACTTGTTAAAAGTTAATTTTTTGTGACAATGAAATTAATCAATTTTCCACATTAAAAAAACTCATCGACTTTTACGTTTCTTATATATATATATATTTACTTTTAGTACATTTAGTCGATAATGTTTGTAACATTGATAATATATTGCGACCAATAAGTTGGTAACATTGAATTTTTCATTCATTTGTAACAGCCTTCACTTCAAGTTACCAACTTATACGTGTGTCTGTACATTCGTGATTCTATGATTAAAGATTATTGCAGAATCGGCTTATTTTTGTCTATAAAATTCTCTTTTTTTCTTGAAAGTTTAATAATTAAATTTTCAATTGTATAATTTAATTTGGAAATGGCTTCAACAAAATTCATTATCGTAAGTGTCAAATAGTATTTCTATTAAATACATAACTCCAAAATAATTTTATGCTGAAAATGTAAATTATAAATTATTTTCTTTAGCGAAAAAGATGATTAATAATAGAATTATATTTGATATAAACATTTATAGATTTTTTTCTTAGGCTAGGTCATTTTCATCATCTTCAGCTGTTCAACAATTAGTAAAGGTAAAATTTTATGATTGTCATATCTCTCTCTCTCTCTCTCTCTTTTTTATTTGATTATATAATTGTTTCTATTGGAATAACGAATATTTTATCAACTTCTCCGATTATTTATATATTATTATTTTTTTTAATATATTTGACAGCCTCCGCTCCAAGTATTCGGTATTGAAGGACGATATGCCACAGCATTATTTTCAGCAGCAAGTAAACAGTCATCTCTTGATGCTGTTGAAAAAGACCTTATAAAATTTCAAGTTTGTTAATGTCTTATTTATAAAAATTATACATTTATCTCTTCACTTATTTATAAATATACATTTTAATAATGATAATAATTATTATTTTCATTTTAGGGTTTCCTTAAATCAGACCCAAAACTTGTAGATATCGTAAAAGATCCATCAATTAAACGTAAAGTAAAAGCCGAAGCATTCAATTTTGTTGGTAAAAAAATAGGTCTTAATCAAGCCACAGCTAATCTTTTTAGTATTATGGCAGAAAATGGTCGATTAGGAATGTTAAATCAAGTAATTAATGCATTTAAAATAATAATGGCAGCTAATAGAGGGGAAGTAGTTTGTGAAGTAATAACTGCTAAGCCTCTGGATGCTGATATGAAAGCTAAGCTTGAAGGAACTTTAAAATTATTTTTGAAAAAAGGTCAAACCCTTTTACTGACTTCTAAAGTTGATCCAGCAATACTTGGTGGAATGGTCGTGTCTATTGGAGATAAATATGTTGATATGAGTATCGCAAGTAAAATAAAAAAATATTCTGACATTATTACTAATGCCGTATAAATATATTCATAAAAATTTATAGATTGGTATTTTAATGTAGTAATTTACAATACATGTCAAAAGTTCTAAAAGATCAATAAAAATAATATAATTGTGTATGTCGGAAAAATGTGTTAATAACTTTTTTTTCTAAATCCTATGCCTATGGCCGAGTTTAAATTTTATTAATTGATTATCCACTCAATTGATTGTAATCTTAAAAAGTGCTATGGATGAGTTAATCTGTAGTGGTAGTTGATAGTCAAAGAGTATTGATTATTGCTCTTGACAATAGTCTAAAAATGATACCCTAAAACTTTTATTATAATTTTAAAAAAATATACAGCAATATGTGTTTGGGTAAACTACAAAATTATTGATTAATTATAAAGGACTGATTGATGGGCTGTATCATGACTCACTCTAGAATTTGAAATCTAGATTGATGATTAGTTACTATGTCATAATCTAAGGCTTTTAGTCTTGTAAATATTGATTCATTTTTCTGAACTGTAGGAAAGAAAAGAGGATAAAAATAAAATAAATTGTAGGATATTGTAATAGATGTAAATGAATAGGAAGACATTAGATTGATAGTAAAAGGTAGAAAAAGAAATTGGAAATGACTAGCTATCTCTTCATATGAGAGTGAAATAGGATCGAATTCTACTACATATAGCTTGCATCGACGACGAAGACCTGCGCGTATAGTCGTGTCCGCTTGCGCGTTGATCATCATCTAGCATCTAGCAAATAGAGTAATTCACTTGCTGTGCTAAGCACAAAGTGAGCTGATATACGTTGACAAAATACGTATATTGTTGTATTATTAAATTTATTTATATTTTAAATTATTCGTAAAAGAATATAATTATAAAAAATTCTCTTAATACTTAAAACTTGATATATTTATTAAATAAAGTAAAAAAGTGTTTGAATAATAAAATTTATAATTATGAGTCAAGAAACAACAGAAATACCTTCCGTAGTAGAATTAAATGTGGGTGGAGTCTTTTACACTACATCATTGTCAACTTTAACAAAAGATAATGATTCTCAGTTATCAGCAATATTTACTGGTAAATCGCCAGTTGAAAAAGATGCCAAGGGAAAATATTTTCTTGACCGAGATGGTGTGCTTTTTCGATACGTTTTGGATTTTCTGCGCAATGATACACTGACACTTCCTGAGGGTTTTCGTGAACGAGAACGTCTTAGAAGAGAGGCCGTTTATTATAAATTACCAGGTCTTGAGAAAGCAATTACTGACACTAATTCTGAATCATGTGTCACAGCTAGATCTTTATGTGGAAGACGCGGCATCGGCTATATCACTGTGGGATATCGCGGAAGTTTCTCTTTTGGTCGAGATGGTTTAGCTGATGTTAAATTTCGCAAATTATCGAGAATTTTAGTTTGTGGACGTGTTGCACTTTGTAGAGATGTTTTTGGAGAAACGCTAAATGAAAGTCGAGATCCTGATCATGGGTCAACTGATAGATATACATCGAGATTTTTCCTCAAACACAGCGTTATTGAACAAGCATTTGATATGCTTCAAGAACAAGGTTTTAAACTTGTTGCAAGTTGCGGTTCTGGAACTGCTTGTGCTTCTACTGAACATCTTAAACCTGGCGTTGATTTAGAAGAAAATCGTTGGGGTCATTATAATGAATTTATATTTGTGCGCGAGTAAAAATTATCATAATTTAATTGTTAATAATGGTGATTTATAAGCGCCTATCATTGTAATTGTAGATCATCTTCATCATAAAATCTTCCAGTAAAAAGAAAATATATATATATACATACGTGATAATTGTAAACTGATATAGACACGGGATCATAATTAACGTATTCAAATATTATTTTTTGAATACGTTTCTGTATTTTTTGTTGTTATTTATGTAAAATATAATATATCTTATATAAATTATACAAACTGATAAGATTTTTCATGTTTAATTATTTGGAAAATTTTTTCGCCAAAAACACATAAATTTAAATATTCAAAATACAATTCATTAAAAAAATAGGATTGAATGATTTATAAACAATAAATATAAATAATAAAATCAATTGATGATAATAAATTTTTTTCTTACACTACGAGAGCATAAAAAATTTCTACTAAAAATATCTGGAGATATTAATTTGTTAAATGGAGACCGTTAACACTGTATTAGTCAAAAATTTTATATATTCTCTGGCTTAATTATCACATATCTTTATAAAATGTTAAAATGTCAGTGTAGAAAATAAAAATTACTGGACAATCACACACGATAATAAATAAATAAATAAATAAATAGTATTATAAAAAGTGTATGAATTATTGGATACATTAATTAATATGATTCTGATGTGCAGGGTATGTTTACAAATTATAAACGAGGTTGAAGAGGTTGAACTACGATAATTTATTTATTGTATGACAAATGATAAATTTTAAATAATTGACTTTTTAAAGTAAATTGAATTGATTGTAAATGAAAAATTAAAAAAAAAAAAGTGACTTCAAAAGTCATCTACAAAAAGAAATACAATTCAAAGTAGAATACGGGTTTTAATGCCAAATTAATAATATTATGTATGTATAATTAGATTTATTGCCTTCAAATCTTTAGAATATATTAAATAAAGAAAAGAAATATATAAGTTATTTGGTATATTTTATTCAAATACCTTTTACACTATTTTTTTCAATGAGAAAAATTCTATATTTTAAAATTTTTTAGATTATCAATATTTTAGATAGTTCGATAGCTACGTTCAAGATGTAGAGCATACATTTTCCATCCAAAAAAACCAATACCAGTTAAGCAACAAGAAAACAGACATCCTCCTGAAATAAGAAAAAATTTTTACTAATACAAACTAATGCATCACATAAATTATCAATGTTATTTATTAATAGTTTATTACCTAAGAAACTCAAGACATCAAATTTTCGTTCTGGAATGGTAGAAGTTGATTCCACAACAATTTTCGGAATTGCAGTTGTCATAAAAGTTGTATAATGAGAATTAGTAGTTAATAATCGAGTGTATGGTAAATTATTAAATCTATCAGTCGTATTTCTAGAATATGTAGCTGTAGTTGACATTGCTATTGTTGATAAATTTTGTTTATTGTTATTGGTGCTTGAATTTGTAGTATTTTTTTCAGGTAAATTAATTTTTGGTTCAGCAGTTGTTGTCTCACCTATAAATCTCTTATATCGGTGTTGTTCTATATAAAATAATTTTATATTCAATAAGTTGAATAAGCGGAAATTTTGATAAAAGCATATTTTTCGAGGTTATACAGAAGTTTTTAATTATTTTTTTTATTTTGGAAAAAGATTACTTACCATTTAACAGTGAAAAATCAAAACAAAAAATTTCTAATAATAGAAAAATTAAAATACATTTCATTACTATATACATTATGTATCAATTATAGATATAAAAATTGTTTGTAAACACACAAATTTCTAACGTCATATACATGTATACTGTACAAAATAACAAGATTTTGCATCCCCGTCTAACACTGTTGCTACTTCTACCTCCACCACCACCACCACCATTGCTACATATACATATACTTCATATAGGATTCATAATTGAATATTTAAGAGGATAACATGAGATATATAAATTAAAAAGTTTCACAATTACAAATAACTATTTTCGGTGAATATTCAAAATAAATACATATAATCAAGCTCTACTTGTAATTAATAAATATTTTTGTTTCTTTACCGCCAACAGTTAATGATTTTTGGCGGGAATATAAAAAATAAATTAAAAAATATGTAGTTAATTTTTGTTTATTCAATAGAAGAATTTTAGAATAAAAATATCTATTATAAAAACAATATATAAATATAAATTCAAATAGCGGATTATTTTCTAAATGATAACATGATTAAGCATCCAATAGTCGATATTTTATTCTTTTTACATAATAATAGAAAATGATCATTCAGAGAAAATGATATTTATTGTAGGTTAATAATTATTATACAATTTGATTAAAGAAGTATAGTTCAATCGCTATAAAATTTAAATAAATAAATGTTTACAAGTTCCTTTATGAAGATTCTGGATTTTTTTTAGCAGAAGAATTGAGTCCAGCAGTATCACCAGATTCAAGTTGTTTAAGAAGACGAAATAAAGCTGCAGCTTCTCTTATCCGACTGAATTCAATACAAAATGCTTGAACTTCAATAAACAATTCTTGAACATTAATTATTTTATTTCTAATCAGTGATTGCAAAAATACGCAAACAAGTCGTACCAGTCGATTTTGCATATATCGATCTTTGATTGTTTCACAAGTTGATATACAATTACTTATATACAAATGAACAAATTCAGTTGGTAAGTCTACTGTCGTTGTAAGGCGATTAACGACTTCCATGGAATGTAGTGACATTTCCATATTAACTAAAACACTAAAGTATTCCGTTATTTGACTTGAGTGCATGAGTTTTAAGAGTACTTCAATAGCAATTAAAGGATTATTTTCAACTAAATCTGGTAATTTAGTTGGAGTCAAGCCAAGGTGATAAACAAGTTTTGGATCCTTATTCAATTCCGTAACCAAATGTTGTTGTTGCTGTAGTGTAAGAACACTTTTGAAGGCTTTAGTCATTAATCGTCGAGCTTCAGCACCAGTATTGTTTGATACACACATTGTTGTGTTGTCGTCAAAATCAGAATTAAACTCGGACGGTTCTGGTGGTGGATCCATCCACTTGACACATTTAGCTGGATCATATATTGGAGGAGCTAATCGTCGTTGTTGTGATTGATTATTTGAAGTAGGTGAAGGAGTTGTTAACGGCGGCGAATTATCTACATCAAAAACTAATGTCTTTTTTTCTATAACATCTTTCTTGTCATGCATTGGAGACATTAATTCTTCATTTATTGGTGTACTATTATTATCAGTTAACATTGATGGAATTCCACCTGATTTATTGATACTTAAAAATTCCGTATGAAATTCTTCCAACTCCAATTGTAAATTTGTTAAAAAATCGCCAGCAGTCATTGAAGAGAAATATAAATCATCTATTAACTGTTTGGGACTTTTTTTTGCTGCTTCTCCACCTTTAGATTTTATTAAATTTGCTACAAATTTTTTTTCACAGAGCGACAATATAGGGATATGTCCAGATGATGTTGATTTGCCATCATTCATGGATAAGTTGTTTGTCGTTGGCTTTAGCATCTGGTTAAATACACTAGCAAAAGGTGTCGATGAGAAAACTTCTCCTTGATATAGATGATACAATAATGCTAATGCTATTATCCGTTGAACATCATTTGGTAATAAATCAATTTGTTGTAATAACATAACAATAGTAAAACCAATTCTAAATTTATCTTCAGGTGAAAATTCTTGATGAAGTCTTTTAATGAGGTTATCCAAAGGTGTGTCAATATTCTTTTCATCAATAATACCCAATAGTTTAACTAATTCTCGAGGCGAAAGACTCATTTTGTCACCAATTTAATTATTTTACTTTTTATCAATTCGATTATTGTCAAATTAAAAAATTTATTAAATTATATAATTAATTTTGTTGTGTATTATTTTATCATTAAAACGACTGACTAGAAGTTAAAATTGAGCGCATGCGTCATAAAATTTTTTTGATTTGCAAAAATAAATAACTAACAATTGGTAAAATAGTTTTTTTTTCATTTTTATACCGACTACAGATAACTTGAATTTGAATCAAGTAGTCGTTGTGTATATAGTAGTGTTGACAGTAGTAGTTGTAAAAATAAAATTTGAACCTCGCATGCGCATAAAAATAACGTTACAAAGTTTTTATCATGAAATTTATGTAATTATTTTATTAAAAATATATTTGTTGTAGCTATAACGGTTTTTATATGACAAAAAAAAAATGATATAATTGTAAAATTGTCATTCAATGATACTTAGTGACAATAATTTTCTAAAAATTATATTTGTGCTTAAATCCCCTTTTTCTCTTTATTCATTTTTTTTCCCCCTATAACCCCAAAAAAAGCTCAGGGATATGAACGTAAAGAGTCGTCGTTCGTCAACGACAACGACGTCGATAAGCGTATTAGGACGCCAGGCGTCGCTTAGTTCGTCTAGTATATACGTCTACTAAAAGTACCAACATATTAGTGACCTGTATGTACGTATAAAATTGTGTAGTTACGCGAGAGTTAATATTAAAAATAGTGTATTAATTGAGTAAATTAATATAATATGCAATAATAAATTCGGCATAGTATAAATTATAAAGTAAAAAAAAAATGTAAATGTTTTTAAATATTATGTAAAATTCAATATATTAATATTTATTAACCATACCATACAAAGATCACCGCCATTCAAACGTAAATAAACTAAATAAAAAAAACGTTGAAATTTCAACTGATGAATAACAATATAAAAAAAAGTCGAATTGTTGAAATTATTATGATTAAATCAATTAATTTTTCATTGTATTTTTTGGAGCAGTGAATTTTTTAGTGATCTTTAAAATATTGTAATATTTAGTTGGGGTGAATATAGATACATAAAAGGAAATATATGTCAATGACAAGCAAGTGTAGGGAGAAAGGGAGCTTAAATCTACAAAGGGTTAAAGGGCCAACGAACTAAACGCGTGCCATAATTATTTTATTTTTCATTTTCAGTTGACTGGTTTTCAATGTTTTTCATTTATTACTATCCAATTTTTTAATTTTATTTTCATGTCTTGTTACAATGTAGTTACGACAAGTTAATGTGAAAATAGATTTCTAGTGAAAGATAAAATTATCTCAAGTCTTATTCCTACTCTATTGTTCAATATCTTCAAAAAAAGATTGTAACCAATGGACAATTACTACACATTGGTTATTGGTGGAGAGAAGGTAATCGACTAAATCGCCGGATGTTCTATTTTTAATTGAACAAGTGAATCAACGTTGTTGTCGTCATAGTTGGTGCTTTTGCATCTTCATATGTGTATTTTTTACTTAATTATCTTGAAAAGATGATATACATATAATATATGTATTAACAAAAGTCGATAAAAAATATTTTAAAAATTTTTATCTATTTAAAAAGTTTTGTTGACGATATTTTTTCCATTGACATTCAATACAAACAAGAGAATAATAGGATTCATACTAAGCATATATCATTGCTGACTTTATCATAAATTTTTTATTCTTTCTTCCATTAGCCCCGCCCTCCCTTCATACACAATAATCCACGTGCAACGCATATTGACGCTTCATATAATTCTCGTCTCGTTCGCAGCAGCTGTACTGGGAGAAAAAGTTACGTGAGATATCATCCTCTCGAGAAGCTTGGTGACGGACACGCGGACGCCCTCAAGAACGAGAGTTATCTGCGGGTGTAGTTAAGTGAATGTGTATGTGTATGTGTAAGTAGATGCAACATTCATCTAGGACACCAGTGTAAATATGACGCGTGGATTACACCAGTTTACCTGATACTCGAGGATATTTACTCCAAGTCCTCCTTGCTTCGAGAAAAAGGATGCAGTGAGTTTATCATTATTAAATTTTTTTTTATATTTTTCGGGATAATTTTTTTATACAATTCATTAAAAATTTTTATTTTTTTTCAACTTGCTGTTATTATATCAAAATTTAACATTAAATTTAATTTATCTTTAAATTAATAAACTTTTTTTCATTCCGCTTAATTATTCATTAATTTGTATATCGAAAGTACTCTACAAAATTATTTATACCAAAGTTGAATAAATGAAATGATTCAATTATTTTTTTCTTTACATCAATTGAATATTTTATCTGTATTCTATCTTCAATTTGTTCTAATTTTATTTCTATTCAGATATATTAACTGAACACCATGGAAACGACTATATATATATATATATATAGATATACCAATAAATATAGATAATTTTCCTAAAGATTTTATCGAAAATAATCAACAACAAACCATTGTTTTTCTTTTACATATTCATTTATTCTAATAATACAATCTTTCATAACTTGATTAAACTTGATTATTTCTTTTATCCATTTAATAATTTAAATCTATTTTATTTCAATAATACTATAAATTTTATCAATTATTTAATTCTTGAAAAATATTTATCCAAGTTACTGAAAGAAATTCTTTTAAATAAACAAAATGTAATTCTTAACTTTAATGTCTTAAATTCCTAAATATCGCGTGAGGTAGTAGGTCACTACTCCTTCTCTCTCTCTCTTTTTCCCTCGTCGTTAAAACATGCTACGACCTGAGCAAGTGAAGATGTATAAAAATAAATCTAAGCTATAGCTATAATTTTTAGTCAAACTGATCCCTTGTTCAACTCTCTCGATGCATAAACATTTATAATGATAAAACTGAATAGAAATGAAAAAAGAAAAAAAATAAAAAACAACGAAAAGTCAAGTAAAATTAAAAATTAAAAAACAATCTAGTAAAAAGAAATTTATATGACACACTTTGGTTTTAGTAAAATAAACTCGGGTAAGGTTAAATCGTGCAACCCCCCCCGGTTTTATTCTTTTAATAAATATCGAAGGGATGAGGAGGATAAAAAATTGCGCATGATAGACGGGGGAAAAGATATAGAAGGGAATGAGGACGTCGGGTGTATTCACCTGTGGGCGCGATCGACGAACCGAATATAATTGAACTTTTTACATACAATAGTGTTGGTAAATCGTTAAACATCATATATATAAAAATTATATTCTTGTATATATCAATTAAAAAATATATACATGGTGTAAAAAAGAAATGTATGTATTAAACTTTTCGAATCTCTTATTTGTTGAAACGTAATTGGATTAATTCCAACATGTGTCAATTCAAGCTTTTGTAGTTAGTAAACGTAGAAAGTTTAAGAGTAAAGTTGAGAAATTTTTTATCAAGTTAAGTAAAAAATATACGTACTGTCTAACTTTATATTTGTACCTTTAATCATTATTGAGATGGTGCAACAGGTTGGGAAAAAGTAACGCACAACCGATATATAATATATCTCGGGTATAGTAGTTGAGATGACAAGAAAGAAAGCTCCCGGGCTTCGTGTGAGGCGTTGGCAGTATTTTAAACTTACTAAATATAGCAAACGCAATTTGAAAATTTTAGTTTGTATCTTTTTTTCCATCACCATCATTATCCACTATATAGTAAGGCTTCGTTGATGAGAAAAATTTCTTTTTCGGTTCTCCTTTTATAGACATGAGTTATGTACTATTAAAAACTCTTTTTTGGTACATTTTAGACAATGGACAACAATAATTAATAGTTGTCATAATACAACAGTAGAGTTTTTTTATTCTAATATATTCATATACATATATATATGTCTAATAAAATATTATATAAATTTTTTGCAAAAATTAACGATAAAAAATTTGTTTTATTCAATTGTAGTGCTGAAAAACCGTTTGTGGTGAAAATCTCGCCGTAGCATGCCAAGAAGCAACGAAAGGGGTGTTTATGTGATCCCACGCCGATCGCAACAGTCTGTTAGGTCAAGTTGTATAGAAACGTGGAAAAAAGGAAGACGGAGGAGATAGTACGAGGGAAACCTTGTACTTAGCAGTAGAAGTAGTGGTAGGAGGACACGAGGTGAGGTTGACACGAGTGACCGATGAGCACAGGTGATGGCGTCGTGTCTACGTCGGGTCCCGGAATTGATAACGGGGCCCGCGCCACCTCGCTTGGTTCTACACCACAGCTGGGTGTTCAAACGGCGAGTATTACCGCGCCGCAAGATGGTCTTGGGTCCTCTAAAACCCAGGTAGCAGGAGGAGTTGGAGGTGGTGGTGGAGGAGGAGGCACCACTACCACAGCTCCGAAAAGACCTGCTAGAAGAGGTGGTAAACCACCACCTGATCGACCTGTACGGGCATTATTTTGTTTGCCCCTCAAGAACCCAGTTAGAAAAATGTGTATTGATGTTGTAGAATGGAAGTATCCTTTTTCAATAATATTTTATATAATAATATAATATTTTCATAATCACCCACACCACACACACACACACACACACACACATATATATATATATATATATATATATAATTCTTATTAGATTTAATTAGACCCTTTGAGTGGCTCATTCTTTTGACGATCTTTGCTAATTGTGTTGCTTTAGCAGTTTATACACCTTATCCATGTGGTGATTCTAATCAAACCAATATGTATTTAGAAAAAATTGAATACGTATTTCTTGTCATTTTTACGGTTGAGTGTGTTATGAAAATCATTGCTTATGGTTTCGCATTGCATCCTGGTGCATACCTACGTAACGGTTGGAATATGTTGGATTTTACTATAGTTGTAATTGGGTAAGTATATAATAATATTTTGATGTTCTAGTATTTATTAAAAAAATTGAAATGAAATGAAATAAATTTTTAATTAATTTCAATTACAGAATGATTAGCACAATATTAACATTTCTTATGAAAGAAGGTTTTGATGTTAAGGCATTGAGAGCTTTTCGAGTTTTACGACCACTTCGGCTGGTTTCTGGTGTTCCAAGTCTTCAAGTTGTACTTAATTCCATCCTAAAAGCCATGGTGCCATTGCTTCACATTGCATTACTAGTCATTTTTGTAATTATCATTTATGCAATCATAGGACTTGAACTTTTTTCTGGAAAAATGCATAAAACTTGTAGAAATAATCTAACAGGTTTGTTATAAAAATTTATTCAAAATAAATTATTATTTTAATTAAAAAAAAATTTTTTTAGATAAAATAATGGATGATCCACATCCTTGTGGTGACAGTGGATTTCAATGTAGTTCACTTGGTGATGAATATTACTGTAGTCGCCAATATTGGGAAGGTCCGAATCATGGAATTACAAATTTTGATAATTTTGGTTTGGCTATGTTGACTGTCTTCCAATGTATAACTCTTGAAGGGTGGACTGACGTTTTGTATGATGTAAGTAAATAAATGATTATACTGATTCGATAAAATTAAATATTATTTAATCAATTAATTAACAAATAAATATATGAAAAAAAAAAAAAACAAAAAAATAGAAATATTTAATGAAACATAAAGTGGAATAATTCATTTCTGTAGATAGAAGATGCTATGGGCAGTACATGGCAATGGCTTTACTTTATCTCGATGGTTATTCTCGGAGCTTTCTTTGTAATGAATTTAATTCTCGGAGTCTTGTCTGGGTATGTATTTTAACTACAAAAAATCTCTTTATAATTATTTAAAACAATTTTTTTTTTTTTTTCCTTTAAGGGAATTCTCAAAAGAGAGAGAAAAAGCCAAAGCTCGTGGTGATTTTCATAAGCTTAGAGAAAAACAGCAAATTGAAGACGATTTACGTGGATATTTAGATTGGATAACTCAAGCAGAAGTGATTGAACCAGAAGCAGATGAAAGACTACAAATACAGGATGGAAAACGTAATAGAAATAAACTTATAAATATGTATTAAATCGAACGGTTTTTATGAATAGGTTTTTATAAATTTACAGAAAAGCAACAAAATGAAATGGAAAGTACTGACAGGCTTGAAGGTGATGAAGAGGGTATGCAACAAGAATCAATGTGGAAGAGAAAAAAACGAAATTTTGATAGGTATGTAATTTAATAAAATAAATAATTTGTTAAATAATAAAAATGATAATAAGGAATTATAGAAATAAAATTATTTAATATTTATTTAGAGTTAACCGACGAATGAGAAGAGCTTGCAGACAAGCTGTAAAGTCTCAAATTTTTTATTGGTTAATCATAGTTTTGGTATTTTTAAACACTTTGATATTAGCGACTGAACATTACAAACAACCAGACTGGCTTGATCGATTTCAAGAGGTCACAAATATGTTTTTTATTGCCCTCTTCAGTATGGAGATGATGTTAAAAATGTACAGTTTAGGATTCCAGGTAATAATAATAATAATAATAATAATAATAATAAATATCCTATGTAGCTACATTTGTAAATTACATTTCATCATCGTTCAAGTTAAAAATTTACTTTTTTTTGATTAATTTCAGGGATATTTTGTATCATTATTCAATCGATTTGATTGTTTCGTCGTCATAGGTTCAATTAGTGAAATGATTTTAACACGCACAGAAGTAATGCCACCTTTAGGAGTTTCTGTACTTCGATGTGTACGACTTTTAAGAGTTTTCAAAGTCACAAAGTAAGCTAAAAAATAATAATTATTTAGTTAACTTTCAATCATTTATTCTTATAAAATTAATACATAATAAATGTTAAATTGAATTTAGATACTGGAGATCGCTCTCGAATCTTGTAGCTTCCCTCTTGAATTCGATACAATCAATCGCTTCCTTATTACTTTTACTCTTTCTCTTCATCGTCATTTTTGCTCTATTAGGCATGCAGGTATATATCTCTTTTATCAATAATCAAATTCGTTTGATGTGGAAAAATGTCCTTCAATTTTATTTTTATCTTTTGATTTAAATTGACAGGTTTTTGGTGGTAAATTCAACTTTGATGACCTGCAAGATAAACCACGTAGTAACTTTGATAGTTTCTGGCAGAGTTTACTTACAGTCTTTCAAATATTAACAGGCGAAGATTGGAATGCTGTAATGTATATAGGCATTCGGGCATATGGTGGAGTTTCTACCCATGGCATTCTCGCTTGCATTTACTTTATCATTCTTTTTATTTGCGGAAACTGTATCCTTTTTGATATGAAATATAAAAAATATTCTTCTTTACAGATATTTTTTTTTTCTGTAAAAATCAATTCATAAAAGTATTATTATATTTTTCTTAACATTCCGTCAAAATTCAGACATTCTTCTTAATGTCTTCTTGGCTATTGCTGTAGATAATCTTGCCGATGCAGAATCACTGACTGCCATTGAAAAGGAAGCCGAAGAAGAAGCTGAAAAAAATAAATCCCGAAGTGGATCATTAGTAAGAGATGAATTAAGTGGTGAGTGTGAAGATGACAGAGGTGATATTACAGGGGGTGAAGACGAAGAAGAAGAAGAGGAAGGTGGCGGTACTGATCTCGATCAAGATCCTAATAATGAAACAATGGATGATTATGAGGCAGCTTTAGATACTGGAGGGTATTTGTAATTTTTTTAACTGTAAAATTAATTTACTTTTATTATTGTGTATTGTATTGCGAATATATATATATATTTTGTCAAAAAATTTAGATCGAAAGATGGTGATGATGATGACGACCGTCGTCATGCTAAAGTTCGTATTAATATTGAGTCTGATGATGAAAATTTTGAGCATGGTGATGAAGAAGATGAAGATGATCATACAGAAATAGATGGTAAATTAAATTTATTACGAAGAATTAATATTAAAATTTTTCAGTCAATAATATATCATGAATATCAGGTGATATGGGAACGGAAGAAGTATCGGCTCGACCACGAAGAATGTCTGAATATAATATGGCAACAGCCAAACAACCAATTCCAGAAGGCTCTTCATTTTTCTTATGGTCTAACAAGAGTAGATTTAGGATTTTTTGTCACTGGTTATGCAATCATAGTTGGTTTGGCAATATTATATTGATGTGTATCCTAATTTCTTCCGGTATGCTTGCAGCAGAAGATCCTCTAAATGCACAATCTGATCTTAATCAAGTAAGACCATGTAAACCCAAAATAAAATTTATTGAATGAAATTTTTAATAATATTTCTTTAATTTTTAGATATTAAATTATTTTGACTATTTTTTTACATCAGTATTTACGATTGAAATTTGTTTAAAAATGATCTCATATGGATTTGTAATGCATGACGGAGCTTTTTGCCGTTCAGCATTCAATCTTCTTGACCTTCTTGTTGTCTGTGTGTCACTTATCTCGATGGCTTGGAGGTAGTGAAATAAATTATTATTTATAAAATTTTAATAATTAAATTATATTTTAATTTACAATTTTATTTAATTTTAGATCTGGGGCAATTTCATTTATTAAAATTCTTCGAGTTCTTCGTGTTTTAAGACCTCTTCGAGCCATTAATCGAGCAAAAGGACTTAAGGTATATAAATTTTTGATTATTTTTAATTATAAATGTCCGCATAACGTTAGTATCGTTGATTTGTTAATTTTTTAAAAATTTATTCATTTATTTATTTTATTATTATTCATAGACATTTTAATTGAAACTTACTTTTCTCAACAAATTAAAAAGTTAGTTTTTTCCCATAAAAAAATAGTAATTAATTGAACAGTATAAATTGATTAGTACAGAATTAAAGCTAATTGATTAGGTAACTACCCTACTATCCTCCAACTACCCATTAGTTCTATGATAAATTATATAAAAACAGAATCTATAAGTAAATTGATTGATATATTCAGCCGGGTTAGTTGGGTAATAAAGCGAGGTAGGAAGAAAAAAAAAAGAAGAAGATGAAAGAAAGAGTTTCTCGGTGAAATAAGAAAAAAATTTCAAGTAGTTGAGAAAAATGACAAATATATGATTATATTTGATTAATGTTAACACCCAGCACGTAGTTCAGTGCGTCATCGTAGCTGTAAAGACTATCGGAAACATTGTCCTCGTCACCAGCCTTCTGCAGTTCGTCTTTGCCGTAATTGGCGTACAACTTTTTAAGGTAGGCTGCCACGTGCCAGATTCAGTAACCAATAAACGGATCACACATCTAAAGAATTTCATTTTATTTAGAGTGGTTTTCTTCCCATAAATATTTGTGGTGACTCCAAATTACAGTTTTATACCTACTAGTAATTTATTTCGTTTGTATTATTATAATTATTTATCTTTCTCTAAAATTATTAATTGATTTTAAAATCCAATTTAATTTTGTTTGATCGCGAAAACAATTTAAATTTTATGGTAATATAAATAATGATTTTCTCACGTTTAACATATTTGGTGTTTTTTTAACATGTATAATTATCAAGTATTTTCATTATATTGAAAATTTTAATTATCTCTAGTTTTTATGATTAATGCAAAAAGGCAATGTGTAAGGTTGTGTAATAAATCCATGATGTTCTTTCTGATCAATGCACCTTTCGGTTTCCCGAATAAATATTTTTTACATATCTACGATTAATTAGAAATGAATTAATTGAATGTCAATAATTATTTTGTCCTATTATTTATTCTTAATTCTATGTTTAAATTTTAATGTTCATTTTTATTTTTCATCTAACTTGGTACACTTGAAATAAATAAAAAATAAATTTATTTTCCAAGTGCATGAATTTGTCAACTAATTAATTGCAGTGGTGTGTCGCAACATTATTAACATTAAAATCACTTATATTTAAAGTTTTCTCTACATATACATGAAAAAAAATTCTACAACAGTTTTGATTATCATAGAATGCATTATAATAATAATAATAATAATAATAATAATAATAATAATAATAATAATAATAATAATAATAATATCTATAAATTTTTATTTTGCAGAAACGAAAAAGAAAAAAAAATAAAACTATTGTAGAATATTTTTTCAGTGTATATTACTGCGTTGCTAAACGAAATTCTTACGCAATTATGGACTTATTTAATTCTTTATTTGGAAGCGTTATCAAAATCATTCTTTTCATGGCTGCTTATTCATTTAATAGTAGCCGACAGGTGCATTGCCGAGAAAAAACACAAATGTAAGTCGGACGAGGACTATTATGAAATATTTTAGATAAATTTAATGATAAAATATAAAAATTTACTATTATGGCAGCAAGAATGACTTTCTTCGATGATTAAACATTATTGAAATTTTTTTTAGTGTAATAGTAAATAATGAAATGGGAATTTGCTCCTTTTCTCCAGTAAAATAATTTTCCAGTTAAATTTTAGTTTGAAATGCCCTGACCTTAGCAAAGCTCTTGTTGACAACCCTATACCCAACTAACTCGCTGATTTACAATAAAGAAATCCTCCAATTAATGCTCAAATTTTTTTGTTTCACTCTGCCTCTCGTACCGTCTCCTGCGTTGATCTGAATCCTGCTGTGCTCGCGCCCTGCTCACACCTGACCTCAACTCAATAAAAATATAATAAACGACCAATGAAATGAAAAATTTCGTTTTTTATTAAACAAATTAATTACATCAATTAAGTACGTAGTGAAATGTGTGATTGTCGCCATTAAAACAATTGGCAACATTATGTTGGTCACCTATCTCCTACAGTTCATGTTTGCTGTTATTGGAGTACAGCTATTTAAGGTAAAAAATATCCTAAAAGAGCATCCATGCTTTGGTATAATTTATTTATTTATTTATTTATTTTTTTAGCAGACACGTAACACGCATGATTTAATAGTACACCAATATTCGACACTTGTCTTTTTTACAGCAAGTATTGATAAGTTGGTATTTGATTTTTTATTTTTGCATGTTAAATAAAAATTTAACGTAATGCCCTTTAATGTCCGCAGATATGCATGCAAATCCAAGACCATCAGAATAATGTGGTGGATAGTCGTCAAAAGAAGGGGGGCAAGTTTCAATTAATCGCGACATCTTTTTATATCGATACATAAATTGAAGATTTAAATGACCAATTATTTTATATTAATTATTGATAATATAAATGTAAAATAGTTGAAAGAAAATGCCTGATTCTCTGCATTTTTTGGTCAGTAGTTCATTTCGATAATTTCAAAATAGACACAATTATGCTATTTATTATGTCATAACTACACGTTACGAAAATTTATAGTTTTTAATTTAGACAGTACTTTTGATTAGATAATAAAAAATACATATAAAAATATATATAAAATGCTTTTGTCAATGCGATGAATTTCGTTTGCACGCGTTTATTTTCAATTAATTTATTAACATGCAAGCAATATTAGTATATATTTGATATCAATGCTTTATAGAAATAAATTTTATACACTATCTTCATTACTTGATCACTGTAATCGATGATAAAGCCATGTCTAATCGATTCTATCTGATTTAGGGTAAATTTTTCATGTGTAATGATGAATCTAAAATTACTGAAGCTGAATGCCAGTAAGTATAAATTATTTTAATTTTATTCTTTTATATTCTTTGTATTTGAAATATTATTAATAAACACGTTATTGAATACTTTACAGAGGAACATTTTTGGTATTCGAAGAAGGACATATTACGAGACCAGTAGTAAAAGAAAGGGTATGGAGAAAAAATCGATTCCATTTTGATGATGTGGCTAAAGCTATGCTAACTTTATTTACTGTATCAACATTTGAAGGCTGGCCAGGGTAAAATAATAAAATAATTTAAAATAAATTATATGTCATTAATTGATTCTTAATGAATTAATTATAATTTTAGACTTTTATACGTCTCTATTGATTCAAATCGAGAAAATCACGGACCAATTCATAATTTTCGACCAATCGTGGCGGCTTATTACATTATTTATATTATTATAATAGCATTCTTTATGGTAAACATCTTTGTAGGTTTTGTTATTGTCACTTTTCAAAATGAAGGTGAACAAGAGTACAAAAATTGCGAATTGGATAAAAATCAGGTATCATTAAATAATTATATGTAAATAATTTATCTTTTTAAAATAATGAGAGAATATAAAGAAAATGATTATTTTTTAGCGTAATTGTATAGAATTTGCTTTAAAAGCAAAACCAGTTAGGCGTTATATTCCTAAACATCGTATACAATACAAAGTGTGGTGGTTTGTTACATCTCAACCGTTTGAATATACAATTTTTACTTTAATTATAATAAATACCATCACGCTAGCAATGAAATTTTACAACCAGCCAGATCCTTATACTCATGCTCTTGATGTACTTAATATGATATTTACTGCCGTCTTTGCACTTGAATTTGTTTTTAAACTTGCGGCGTTTCGATTCAAGGTAAATAAAAAATTTCAAATACTTTTTAATTTTTTTCAAAGTATTTAAAAAGTTTTTTTCTGCTTTTCAATTAGAATTATTTTGGAGATGCCTGGAATGTCTTTGACTTTATCATCGTCTTAGGAAGCTTCATTGACATAGTTTACTCCGAAGTGAATGTAAGTTTTTTCGAAAAAGACTATAATTATCTAGTAATTTGAATGTTCAAGTACTAATAATGATATTTTATGTATTTTTTTAAAAAAACAAGATTTATTATAGGTTGATGTTTAGTCAAGTTATTTTTAGTTATTTTTAGTAGGTACCCATACCGTTTTTACTTTTTTGTTTTTTTAAGTTCACTATGTGGTATTCAATATATTTTATTTCTAGGCACGACTGCATATCAAGGCGGGAGGTACTCCCCTCCCCAACGTAAAAAGTGTATGTATGTGCGGATGTACGCTTGTGTGTGAGTGTATGTGTAAGTGTGTAACAATTTTTAAAATAAGTCCATGCACGAAATATTTTTATAAATAATTGTACTTTATTTACTACCACCTCAATGTTTATTCAATGTCAAATACCTCTGTCTCTCTATTTTTTTGTTATAAGACGTATGTAAGTGTTATTTATACAGGAATGCACCATAGTCATCCCTTATGAGTTTTTTACCACCTGTACCAATACTACAACCGGGGTTCTTGCTGAAAAGTCCCACGAAAAGTTGGCGAATAATTGGCGAAATAATTGGACAGTGAAGAATCGAAAATGACAAAACATAAAAAACATTTTTTATTGGACTTTTTTGCCTGAATCCATATATATATAATACAAATGTTGAGTGCTCTTCATCAAACCTGAATAATTATAATTTTAACTTTGATTAGATAGTTTAACAGGTTCTAATTGCAACATAGTTACCTCTCGTTTAAGTCCAAAAATTAAAAACTTCTAACATATCCTTTGATAAAAATGACGTGCTCAATTAAAAGAGTATTAAATCACAATTAAAACTAACTAACAATAATTAAAGGATAAATAAAGATAATTTTTTTAATAATTTCAGCCGGGCTCCAATATTATATCCATCAATTTCTTCAGACTTTTCCGTGTGATGCGATTAGTCAAGCTTTTAAGCAGAGGAGAAGGAATTAGGACGTTACTGTGGACATTTATCAAGTCCTTTCAAGCCTTACCTTATGTTGCTCTCCTAATCGTGATGTTATTTTTTATCTATGCCGTGATAGGCATGCAAGTCTTTGGAAAAATTGCTCTTGATAATGATACTGAAATTAATCGGAACAATAACTTTCAAACTTTTCCTCAAGCAGTTTTAATTTTATTTAGATCAGCAACTGGTACGTTTGATTTATATAAATTTATTATACCAATAATTATTTACATATTTTAATTTATATTATTATTTTCATATAGGAGAATCATGGCAAAATATCATGCTTGATTGTTCTAACCGTCCGGGTGAAGTTAAATGTGATCCGAAAAGTGATGATAAAGATAGTTTAAATGGCTGCGGAAATGACATTGCTTTTCCCTATTTTATATCTTTTTACGTTCTTTGCTCATTTTTAGTAAGTTTAATAACACAATTGATTGTATGTATGTAGAATAATATTACTAATTATTTAAAATTTTCATTTAATCCAGATTATTAATCTTTTCGTCGCTGTAATTATGGATAATTTTGATTATCTTACACGTGACTGGTCGATCTTAGGACCTCATCATCTTGATGAATTTATTCGCCTCTGGTCTGAATATGATCCTGATGCAAAAGGTCGCATAAAACATTTAGATGTGGTCACATTATTAAGAAAAATATCTCCGCCATTAGGATTTGGAAAATTATGTCCTCATCGAGTAGCTTGTAAGGTAATAAAATGTGATTGAATTAATTACCTAAAAAATATGTTTATTTATTGATTTCTTTAGAAAAAAAAAAATTAAAAATTTTAGAGATTGGTTTCCATGAATATGCCTCTTAACAGTGATGGTACTGTACTGTTTAATGCGACATTATTCGCAGTAGTAAGAACTTCATTGCGTATTAAAACAGAAGGTAATATAGATGAGGCAAATGCTTCTCTTCGTGCTGTAATAAAGAAAATATGGAAAAGAACAAGTCCGAAATTATTAGATCAAGTTGTTCCACCACCAGGAGGTAAAAATATTTAAACTTTAAATTTATAGTTTTCGAAATTTTTGTTAAAAAATTCTTATTTAGAAATAAATTATTTTTCCTTACAGTTGATGATGAAGTGACAGTTGGCAAGTTTTATGCAACATTTTTAATTCAAGATTATTTCCGTCGTTTTAAAAAGCGAAAAGAACAGGAAATGAAAGAAGGAGATAAAGAGTGTCATAATACGGTGACACTTCAAGCTGGTTTAAGAACATTACATGAAGCTGGACCTGAATTAAAAAGAGCAATTTCGGGAAATTTAGAAGAATTATTGGATGATAATCCAGAACCAACGCACAGGGTACAATAATTGTATTAAACAATAAAAATAAATTTTGTTAAATTTATTAATTTTTTTTTTTTATTGAATTTTTCAGAGAAATCATTCATTATTTGGCAGTGTTTGGTCTAGTATGCGACGAGGTCACCATAATTTTCATCGAGCTAAATCATTAAAAACAAATAGCAATAATGTCCCTAAAATATCACCATCGAACTCAATTGATTTTCTACCTTACGCATCAGCACTACATAGAACTGGTGGAATTGCTGATGGTAATAATCAAATTACCGCACGGTCTCATCAAGTAGTGCCAAATATTACAGGGTAAGTAAAATTGTATATAATGAAAAATCGTTTTTTATTTATAATATATTGAAATGTTTAATTTAAAAAATATTTCAAGTGGTGTGGGTGACTCTATTGCCAATCAAATAGGTCAAGAATCCCGATTAGCAAGTTTTGAAGAAAATATCCCAATGAGACCATTGGCAATATTTGCTAATTCTGGAATGCAACCAGGAAACTTTCAAAATCCATATAAAGTTTTAGAGTGAGTACAAAAAATCATTAATCACAACGATCATCTGTTAATTTTTTTTCATTCGATACTCTACACTGTAATTGTTATTATAAATTATCTATTTATGTATTTGTTATAAGTAAAATGTAAACAACCATTAGGTTAATTTAGTCACTAGTGTGCATGTCGACTGCATTTCATTATAATTAATTAATAGTTGAAAACCTTATTAATCTTTTTTAATCGCGTTCAGTTAATGTAGATAAGTAGATTTATCTTATATTTATTTATTTATCTTCCATGCTTTTTTTTTACTGTCATTATTTCAGTGGTCCAACCAGCGGTAATTATCTCCATCCAAATAATGAATATGGTAAGGATATTGAAAAAAAGCTTTACATCACAAAGTTGTGAATGTCTGTTTAAACATGCATGAGCCAAATTGTAGCTTTGAGCTTGTATTTTTCTTAAAGATGTTTAAATTGATTTTTCTCGCATGTTAAATACAAAGTTTGAATACTTTAATTTTCTTTTCTAATTAAATTTATTACATTAAACCTGTTAAGCATCTTTTATTGTCTGTGAAAAACAATAATAATAATAATAATAATAATAATAAAATCATTTCAACGGTTAAGTATTTTAATCATTTAACTAAAGTGTTTTTGCTCCCGTGTGCGTTTGATTGTTTTCCGCTACTGCAGTCTTGAGGATGGAATTGAGCAACAGCTAACACCTCCAACACCGCCACCGAGAAGGAATTTGGCATCAAAAGGAACTGCTGCTATCACCTTTGCCGTTTCTTCAGGTGTTACAAAGGGTGATTCCAGTACTACTACAACGACAAGTCCAACAATTTCGCCAAGTCCAACACCAAGTCCAAGTGTTGGATCTTCTTCTAATGACGGAGGAGTTGGTAGGGCACGTTACTATGCTTATGCATCTCGAGGATGTTGTGTAGACATTGTTGATTGGAATCAACAACAACATCAACAACAACACGGTACGCGTTATTTATTCATCAAAAAAAAAAATATCCAAAACGAATTAAATGTGTATATTTAACTAAAACGCGTGAAAAAACACATCGAAAATTAATTTTTTTTTATTTTTAAATTTATTAAGTAATTCTATGTGACAAAATACACGGTTTTCTGAAATTAATATTTTAAATGAATTTTATATAGTTTTTTTTTCAATTTTTTTCGGATAAATTATTGACCAAAAAATGTAGATTACAGTAGAAAAGTAAAGATATGAAAAAAGTGATTTATATATTTATTTATACAAAATCGAGATGACTTTGTCATAAATATCTGTCTGTTTCGCTTACGAATACAGTGGACGACACTTCTCTAGATGATGATACTGCAAGTGGATCTACGAAACCGGAACGAAAATCATGTTCGGAAAAAAATAAACACATAGATGTATTAAAAAAAGCTTCAAGTTTAAGATGTCCATCAACTAAAAAAAAATTTACCTACAGTTCGAGGTCATTTAAAGAACCTCGAACTCCCGGAGAAACAAAAAGTATAATGAATGGATTAAAACTTGCTCAAACACAGGCTTTAGCTGTTGCCGGATTTATGACAAACACGAGTGCAAGACCTTTACGAATTTGTGAATCCTGTATAACTCATCGGGCTTCATTTCATGGCAGAGGTGATAGTAAACTTCAAATCAAGAAAATTACATCAATTGAAATAATTGGCATTTTATAATCAGGAATAGTTTAAGAGTGCTTTAGTTTTTCAAAAATCATAATAATAATTTTTATAAATCATATATTTTGAATGCATGCTCGCTAATAAGCTTTGTATAAACATGCAACAAAACTCAAGCTTTGCTAACACGCATAGTCAAAGTTATGTTTTAAACTTTTAGTATATTTGTCACGCCATTGTGGTAGTGTGCCAAAGCTTGAGTGAGATGTAGTGTGAAGTTTTTGAACTAACGAAAATAAATAAAAACAGAAAAAAAGCATTGTTAATTAATTAAACTTTAGTTGTAATAAAATGATTTTTTATTCATATAGTTTCTTGGGGCGGTGAAAGCAATGGAACAGTTGGAGGAGGTAGAGGCTCTGAGCGATTGGTTCACAGTTTACCTGGTAGTCCCGCTGATCGCAAACCCAACTTTGAGGTCATTGGTAGTGCTGAGAGTCTAGTAGGACGAGTATGTATTATTGTCAATCTCGTTATATGTAAAAATTGTTGCTATCTATCATAGATATTACATGTTGAGCTCCAACTTTTTTTTTGCTTAGGTTCTTGCAGAACAAGGTCTAGGCAAATATTGTGATCCAGATTTCGTGAGATATACATCGAGAGAAATGCAAGAAGCATTAGATATGACAAGAGAGGAGATGGATCGCGCTGCTCATCAGCTTTTACTTCAAGAACGTAGAGGACAACCACTAACTTATCAATTACAACAAAGTATGGATCAACATTGGAATCCTCGACCACAGGGTCCACGAGAAGTAATGTATGAACAATTACGGGAACAAATGCCGTCTTTAGAACAATCACAAATACAAACATTATCATCATCATCATCATCACCACCATCACAACAACAACAACAACAACAACAACAACAACCACTATATAGGCAACCACCATCTTAGCAAAAATGGCCAAGTTTTAAGACTGCAATAGCTCGAAACTACATTGGCAACGAAAATTTTTTGTTGAATTCGTATTGCAATTTAATTGTTAACTTTAGTAATAAAAAAATTGGAAATATTAAAGTAGTTGTCTTGGTTTGTCATATCAACTATGCATAATATAAACAATAGAGTATAAATAATGTCTCTTTCAAACCATAAGTATTAATAATATACTCTAAATATTTTAATTTTCTGTAAAATATAATAGTTTCGTTTTAAAATATATAAAATATAATATTTAACTCTATTTGTTGATGTGCATAATACGAGGCAACTACTTTAAATATCTTTATAACGTAATATCATCATCATTAAGATATTATTACTCTACAAAAGATTTTGTTTTTCTTTTGAGTTAGAGTTTTAAATAATTTAAAAATAGTTTTAAATCTTTACAAATATTAATAAAGTTGAAACATAAGATTCATAATAATCATTATAAGTTTGTAGGGTAATATTGGTAAGGTGATGATAAAAAGTACATACATGAAAAAAATATTTCAGAAATTTAGTTTATCCTTTCATACTAATAATATAATAATAATGATAACGATCAACGTCAGAATTATTATCTATCGATGAATATTAGAGAATGAAAAAATTGAATAATTAGAAACAACAAGTGCCTAAGTATCTATAGTAACTTTGTGTGATTTGGACCAGACCAAGACCTTTATCAATTCAGGTAAATCATATTATAAATGCGGTTTGAAGTACATTACTTTCGATTACGTGCAATTGATTTATATAAAACTCGATAGTTTGAGTAGACTATAAATAAATGAAGTAACTGAAAAATATTAGCCAAGTTATTTTTGCGTATCCACTTGAGATCGATGTTAGGTAAAAAATAAAATACTAGTTTGAAAAAATTCTCATTAATTGGTATACACATTCGATTTTATTGTATTGTCGCTTTTTGACGTTGTCCTTATTATACTACAATTGTCTACTGTCTTTTTGTACTATTTCAATTGTAAAAAAAGAAAAAACAAAAAAACAACAACAATAAATTTGAACCAAGAAATAAAAGGGATAAAGAGATACGTAAAAAAAGAAATAATAGTATTCATGGATAGTGTTTATAGTAGATAAACAATGAATTTAATGGAAAGAAAAAAGGTGAATAAATAATTGGAATAGCAAATATCAGGGACTGTGGAGTGGATCATAAGTAAAAATTTGCAAAACATTCGTATCGTGTTGTGACTGATTTACTCGAATATTGGATCCATAAATCCAGTAATTTATATTATTTAGTCTAATTGTTTAATAGTAAGTTTTATTTCAAACATGACTATGACTTAAAAAACTTACTTTTTCGATTATTTTAAATGAGAAAAATTAATCTTTCTTTATTATTATTGACACAATTATTATCAAGCATATTAATAGTAATCATTCTTATGATATTATTTTTATTAATAATTTTTTTTTTTTTTGTTTTCTTTAAGGGTTTTAGTGAATTCGTTTTATTATTATTATTATTATCATCATCATCATCATCATCATCATCATTGTAAGTCTCAGTAATAAATACTTTAAAAAATATTATGATTAATGCAAAAGTAATAATAAATAACTTGTAGAAATTTTTATTCTAAAAATTTGACCAGTGCCTGAATTTAATTATGTAATTAATCAATGAATTAATTAATTATGTACGCACATTAATAATAAATAATAAAACGACCATGTATTTTATTTCTAAAGAAATAAAAATAAAAATGTTATATAGACTTGATAATAATGCAAAATCTCGCTACTACATACTAAAATTAATGTATTGTATAATAAATAAAATTATTTGAAAATGGATTTAATGAGTATGCGAAAATTGAATTAATTAAAAATGGGTATATTTAGAGTGTGAAATACATTAAGAATAAGTGCCGAGAGGAATATATAATATTAATACGTGAATAAAGTTTAGATGTAGGTATAAACTTGGAAAAGAGATTCATTGATTATTCATGTTAATGATAGTAGAAATGTAAATAATTAAATCAATAAGATTGTGTAAAAATTTTTTAGCAACTTTTAAACATTTTTCATTTACTTTATGAAGCATGTCCATGAAAATCATCAATAAGAGTATGTGAATAGTGAGTATGAATTAAATCATCGCTGTGAAAACGATCGAGCAAACATATATTGTTGTAAGCGTTAATTATAATAATATACTATTTGATTGAGTAATTTGATATAAAACGCTTGTATAACCAGCGTCTTTCATTCTCACTTTGATTGTCATTTACAAAAAATTTGGCAATGATACACATATTTGAAATGATTGTATTGTTGTACAAATCAATTGAAGGCATATTTTAAAAGTAAAAAGTTCCGAGACAATTACTATATAAAAAAAATATAAATACATCTTCTATAAAATAATTAATAAGTAAATTAATTTTAAAAATCATAATTCCGCTCGGTAAATAATAACTAATGACGCAGAATTTATTGTGTTATAATTGCTGTTGTTATTGTCAAAATTGTGTCAAAGTAAAATATAAGGATTTTGGGAAACTAATGTGTGTATACTTGAATACCTTTTATTAATAAATAAAAACATACAAATATTATATTAATTGAAATAAATAATCTTGAAGATTTTCGTTTTATCTATACATATATATATATACATATATATATATATATTCAAATATGCATATATATATATATATATATACATATATACAATGTATATTTCAATAATCAATATGATACATGCTAATATACAGACCGCACTTGACCGCAAACGTATTTGATAGTTTGAATAAAATTGAATGCACAATTAGATGATTTTTCAGTACACTTTTCAATTTATTCAATTAATTTAATAATACTTTAGGCTAAATAAAATGTATTCATTATGTAGTTTGTGCTGCTTTTTTTGCTTTTATAAGTTCCACGAGTTCCTGAAAAAATAAAAATTTTAATATTATTAAATTTAATTTATAATAAAAATAAGTATCTACGGTTAAACTTACTTTATATCGTCTCATACATTCTTTTTTCGTTCTAGTAGGTATACAATTTGATATTAGATCCCATCGTTCGTGCGCTTCTGTTATATTAGAGTAAGTTTTTAATGCCTGTTCAAGAAGTTTTTGCTCAGAAGGAGTCCATGGCGGCGATGATTTATTTTCATTAGTTTTGGGTTGATTAGATTCCGAATTTTTAATAGGAGAATCTAATCTTTCTGTCACTACTGCAGGCATACGTTCATTAATAGGTTCTTTATTTTTTTTTTCAGTAATAAAATTTTGAAAAGCTTTTGTATTTGCTTGCTGTTTGAGGCTTGATTTACTAAAATCAGTAGATTGAAGATCTTTAGCTTTAGCTAAAACTTCTTTTGCATCACGAATAGTGCCATTATTAGAATGTTGATTAATAAAATTGGCAACGACTTCCCAACGTTGATTTGAACCAGCGGGAAAAAGATTTACTGCTTTGATCAATAATTGAAGATCATGTTCCGACCAAGGAACAAGATGAGCTTTTACTTGTTTTTCTAAAGGATTGCGTGAATCTGATGGATTTCCTTCTGCTGAAGCTGCACGTCGTTCAGCTTCAATTTTACTTTCTGTTTCATTTATAATTCGAAGAAAGCCATCTCGACCTTGGGACTGTATTTCTTTAATTGCTTCTTCCAATTGATTTAATTTAAATAATTCACACATTTTCTCTACACTTTCCATATGTTTGATACTTTCTTGAGGATTATCAGCAAAATAATTTCCAGTTTTGCAAACATCTCTTAAAGCTTTTCGTTCTTTTTTTAAAGCTTTTTTCATTGCTTCACGTTCTTGTTTTAATAAATCTTGTCGAGCTTTTTCCTCTAATTCACGTTTTTCCTTTTCTTCACGTTCTTTTCGTGCAGCCTCTTTTGCTAACCTTTCTTCTTCCATTTGACGAGCTTTAGCAGCTTCTTGTTTTGCTCTTTTAGCAGCTAATTTTTTATCTTTATCTTCTTGTTGGAATTTTTTAATACGAGGATCTACGGCATATGCAGTATCGACAAGAGAACGTATTCTTGCCATTTCCTCTTTCTTTCTTTTAGAGCGGGTAGCTTTGTTTTTTTTTTCAATCCATTTTCTCATATCACGGTCTTGACCGGACTCTTTATCTTCTTCATCAAGATAAGAATATTCACGCCAAGATTCAAAGTCATACCAAAATGAATAAAACTTTTCTACATCTTCCCTTGAAGTATCTTGATCACCAAGTAATGGTACAGGTTGTTTTACAGACCATCGTGCGTTATCTTCAAATGCTCTACCCATCGTATCATAAAATTCAATTTTTGCATCTTTTTCATCAGGAACGGTATCATCGAAGAATGGATCTACGCTATCATAACTACGTCTCTTTGTTGGATTACCTAACATCTCCCAAGCACGAGTAATACACGTAAAATAATCATCATCAGGACGTATTTCTTCTCCCATTGCTTTCCGTTTATCAGGATGATGTTTGAGTATTTTTTGTTTATCTAAAAATGTATCAAGTTAATAGTTTATTTATTTTACCAATATTAAATTAAATTATTACGATCAAAAATACCATACATGCTTGTTTAATAAGATCTTCCGATGCTTCAAATCGAAATCTTTTTAATCCTAAAACTGCATAATGATCTTGATTTTTCCAGTCTTTAGGATCAAGAGATCTTAAATATTCTAAATCATCTTCAATAAGATTAGATTCTTCATCCTCTTCGTCATTATCATTATCAGATAATTCTAATGACTTGCCACCAGATATTTTTTCAAACGGTGTTTGTAATTTTGTATGTGCTATTGCGTGAAGAACAACTGGACCAGCAATATGTAATTTAATTTTTAGTAGTGCTGAAACAAATAATAAGTCGTATTTTAAAAATAGTTGAATAATCACAATAAAAGTCATTTTCAGAATTTTTTAAATTAAATTTCCAAAAATAAAGTCTAAAATATAACCTCTATTTGTATCAGAATAATAACACTTACGTGAGATGCTATTATAAATTACACAATCATTATCTTGATTGTTTTCAAGCATAGTTATTGACATTATCACAAAAGAAGACGTAATAAACAATTTGATTGTTAATTATGGAAAACTTTAATAAAATACTCTATATGGAGAGTGAAAGAGATGAGCGGCGCGTGTGAGAAAGTTAAATAATCTATACACAACGTGGTGTTCATTGTACATATAAGCAGCAATGTACAGTACCGGACATGAATGCTGTGTAATTTTCTATAGGAGGGTATAGGAAAATTGTATGTATAACCTATAAAAAATTAACCAGCATTTACATCCGGTACTGTATAACCAAAGAAGAGAGACTAGTCTCTTCTCATTTTTAATGTTATTTCAAATTCTCATTTTATTCTCATTTTTAATGTTATCTTGAATTTTTTAGTTTTTTCAATTTAGCCCAAGATATATAAAAATTCTAGATTGAAAACTTAATATAAAAAAATCATACCGGCGGTCGGTAATTGCTCTCCGAGGATATACCAGGTATTATTGAAGCCGAGTGTATCATCTAAAAAAACTCTGGCGACAGGAAGAAACTACTTTTGGGCTTCTAGGTAAGACAGTATTCCTTTGATCAATCTTTTATGCCGGCAGCGCATACGACATTTGTCCGTATGTATTAGATATATGAAAAAATTTATTGCTAATAATATGATGTAATTATCACTTATATAAGTTTATTAATTACAATATATATGAGCAGTTATTAAAAATAATTTCTCTAAAAATATGTATATGTATATAAAATTTATATATAGAAATTTTCATAATATAATTTATTCATTTATTTTTTACATGTGCTTATTATTATTGTAAAATGATTCAAATATATTTAGAGAAAAAAAAATTAAATAAGGATAATTTGAAACGGACAATTTGCAAAAAAAACAATTGTCATATCAATTTATGTCAATAGAGGCATGACGATCAAAACAGTGGTGCCATAATTTAATTTTACATGTGCTTCTGTTACACACACGCTTCTTCTTCATTTAGAGTTATTTTGAGCTTCAAAATATTGAAATTTCTTTGAGAATTTAAATAAATAATTTTCAATAAATTTTTCACTTTGAACAATCAAAATTAATATTTAATATTTTAGATAAATTGTACTGTATGGATATACTTTTTCTATGTTGGCAGCAGTTTACAAACTACGGCTGCTGATTAGTATTCTTGAGATATACATATATATATATATGTATGACCAGAGATGTGCAACGATACAAATGTTATCAGAAAGTTTATTTAACAATTTAATAGTTTACGTTTGAGTATTTTCAATGTAACTTGAATACATGATTTATGAGTGATAATTTGTGAACATGCGAATAATGAGGTATTGAATATTTTAAAAATGATAAAAATGTCGAAAAATGTGAAAAAATTATTACTAGAATGGATGTTACAGTTGAACGATTTAAAACAACAAATTGTCAAAAAAGCCTGTTTCAAAACGTGTATTTAACAGTAATTGAATAACTTGGATATGTTTTACAAAAAATTCTAGTGGATTCTTACAGGGTGAAGCTCTAAAAATTATTTAGGCCATGAATGTATTCAGTATATAAACATGGCCGTCTGTATGTTGTCCAAGAAATGTTTTTGTATGTTATTATGAGAAATATGCATTTAAAAGTATTGAATAATATAGTATTGAAAAATAATGATTCATCAAACCCCAGGTAATTATATGTTATTGTTTTCAAATGAATCATATTGAATTGGATAGTTTTTAATAATTATGAGAAAATTTATAATATTTCTTACGTATTTTTTTGAAAATGTAGGTCATTGAAAAGTATTTGTTACAAATAAAGTTAATTGCAATGTTGACAGAGCAATATTTTATATATATTTTATTAAAATTAATTTGAATAGGTTATAAAGCAGAAATGGAAACATGATTTGTATTATTTTACTATTAATAAATGATAATATTGAAAATTATGAAATTTTAGGCCGATGTCTGGGTGAGAAATGAATGTCTTCAGGATTCTGCTACCGTGCGCGTTGCAGCGTGGCGACGATAGTGACGTTGAAAAGAGTGATTGCTGGTCAATACGAAAAGAAAGAAACAATGGTACACGTATGACCCAAAGAATGGGAGCATCAGCCTCTTCAAATCTTGCCGCAATTGGAGGAGATCCCATCCAGGCGGCAAGACTATCAACTTCTGGATCAAACACTGATCAATTCAACATGGGTATACGGTAAGAAATATGTATAAAATTGATAAGTAAAAAAAATATTTTACTTGAATGTAATGGTAAATAAATGAAAATATATTTTATATTATATTAGAGAGAGGAAAAAGAAATTGACGGGTTTTGCAACATTACGAAAGAAGTTTATAAGAAGACGTCGTTCTTCGAAAGTTTGTGATCATGGTCGTGTAATCAGAGAATTAGTTTGTACATGGAGTCCTTTAGAAACAAGTGCTTTATTGGAAGAGTATGAAGCTTTAGCAGCATTAAAAGATCTTCATGTACAAGCTGAGCTAGCAAGACCACCGGCAGCAACATTTAAACAAGATCTCTCAACATTATATGATTATAAACATTGTACGGATGTTGATTTAGTTTATCGTGGAACGTGTTTTCCTGTTCATAGGGCGTTACTTTCAGCTCGTTGTCCATATTTTAGAGAATTATTAGCGGGATGTCCGGGCTATGGTGCTCGTATTTGTTTAGATTTAAGAACACCAAATTTAGAAGTTCATGTATTTTCTGCATTACTACGATACCTTTATACTGGAGATATTTGTTCATATGATACATCATTAGATCCAAATATATTGAGACGATTGGCCGAAGAGTTTGGAACTCCAAATCATCTTGATCATGATCTCAGATACTTACTCGATAGTGGAGATTATGCTGATGCAGCATTAGTATTTACGTCCGATGGTGATTACCAGAGACCTGACAGTGGTAGTTCAGAATATGGATTTCGACCAAAACTTGAATTACCATGTCATAAAGCTATACTATCAGCTAGATCAACGTTCTTCCGGAATTTGATTCAACGACGTTCAAGGTCAGGTGAAGATCACACAGAACGAGCTCTTCATATACCAACTAGAATAGTTCTCGATGAATGTGTTATTCCTAAGAGATATGCCCGAGTATTATTAAATGCTGTATATTTAGATACAGTTGATCTTTCATTAATTCTTCGAGGAAGTGGTTGTGGAAGTAGTACAGGAAGTCTTGGTGAAGTACAAGCCTTAACGCATACAGGCCGTATGCGTCCAAGTCCGTTGGAAGAAGCGATGGAGTTGTATCAAATTGGACGATTTTTAGAACTTGATATTTTATCTCAAGGATGTGAAGATCTTATATTAGAGTGTCTTACTCATGAATCATTACCAACTGTACTTAGGTTTGTTGAATGATTTAAAAAATTGTGTGTGTGTTTTTTTTTTAAAAATGAGTTTTTTATTTTATTGCTAATTTTCATTATAGATGGGGGAGTCAACCACATGGTTCAGCGTGGGTCCATCGACAAGCGTTACATTTTTTGAGAGAAGAATTCCAATCGTTAGCGTCTTCACCAGTTTTATATCAATTAGATCATACGCATTTATTACAAGCTCTTCAGAGTCATTTTCTTCAAGCAAGTGAACTTGAAGTTTTACAAGCTGTGTTGAAATGGGGTGAACAAGAATTAATACGACGAATGGAAGATCGTGAACCAAACCTTTTAAGTCATACGGTACATTCAGTTGCTCGTAAAGGTGTTAAAAAGAGAGATCTTAGTGATATTGAACTTCGTGAGATATTAAGTGAGCTTTTACCTCTTGTGAGAATGGATCATGTGTTACCATCAAATAATGAAAATTTAACACAGGTATATTATTGAAAAAATAAGAATTTAAAAAAAAATGAGTAATAAAAAAGTATTGATAAAAATATATTTAGTAATTTTTTCGTTATTAGGCTATAAGAAGAGGTTTAGTATCGACCCCTCCAAGTCATATGATTGGTGATGAACGTGAAAATTTACGTATAAATGCATGGATAAGAGGTGGAAAGAGGAATGGATTATTTGTTAGGCCTCGTTTATTTATGCCGTATTATGAGGAAATAAAGGTTTTATAATAATGAATATCAATTTTTTTTATATATATATATATTATTGATGTATTATAATGAAATTTATGTATATGATAAATTTTTAATGTATCTAGAGTCTAGTCGAAGAGCAAATGAATCAAGAAACGGAATTATTACGATTACGAAGAGCACATTACATTCCTGATATACCTGATACTTTATATATGGTTGATGAGAAACCACGATCATTGGGTGCAGCTGGAGTAGATATTCTTGCTGCAGCTCTACCTGGTAAAACTATAATGATAGTAGTAATTTTGAAATGAAAATAATGAATTATTACGAATAAATTGAAAATGAAATATTTTTAGTTCCAGATTCAATGACAATTTCTGCTATGTTAAAACGTGAACAAAAGTTACGACAATCACCAAGTTGTCAACGAGCCATGAGTTTACCGCTCTCTTGTCGACATGAAATAAATCGACAAATACGATTACGTGTTGTTCGTGAATTTAATTTGCCCGATGCTGTTGCTGATTTTCTTGAGGTAAATTGAATTATTACTAAAATTGATAAACATTTATTAATAATATAATTAATTACAATTGTTAAAATAATGATAATGAATGAAGTTTTGGTTTTTGTTAATTTTGATTAGCTAAAAACCAATTTTTTTTCTGATAAATATTAAATATTAAACGTAATTTGTCATAATATGCTTCATCGCCTGTCATTTTAAGAAAACTTTCTTTATCATGAATATCTTCCATTTTGGGAGCAGTACCGGGTTTAGATTTAACAACTTGTGCCATCATAATACATTGTGAAAGTTTCAATGGAGCACAATATTCAACTAAGTCGATCAATTTATCTCGTTTAAAGTTATCGGTATTGATGTTTAATGTTTTAAGTGTATCAATAAAATATTGATAATACAAATGAATCATATCATCAAATATATCTTGAATAATGTCATTTTCTGGGCTTGTTAATAAGAAGAAAACTAAATCTTTAACACCATAATCATATGCTCCCAATTGGAAATCAACAATTTTCATATCGATAATTTGTTTATTTTCATTAAATTTAAACATCATATTATTGATCCAAAAGTCATTATGTACTAAAGTACACCAAGTTTCATCGCGTTTTTCTGTTTCAATAATTTTTGCAGACATATCTATAGACTTTTTAACAAGTTCTATATAAGGTTTTATTTCATTAATTGATTCCATATCTTTAAGACCTTTTTGAATCATATCTTGAATACATTGCATAACTGTTTCAGTAATGGCACTTTTGAGTGCAGGCATAACATTATCATGAAATATTTGAGGTTTTTTTATTTTCAATGCTATGACAACAGCATGTAGTCCAGCGAGTTTTTTAATTGCAAACTCTGTTTGTATTCTATTTAAACCAATTAAACGGTCAATCATTTGATAGCCACTGTAATTGAGATTTTCTAAAACAATACTTGCTTGTTCATCAAAATTATTATTGTTTGTTAATCCCATTCTGGAGCCATAGTATTTAGCACCCGGCCAAGAATCTTCAGGATGAATAATACCACATTCTCGTTGAAATTGTAATAATGTTGGTGTTACATTTTTGTAAAATTCAATTTCTTTTTTGAAGGTAAAAGGACTGTTGAATAGTTTTATTAGATAAGGTGATGGTGGTGGTAATTTAACAATAACATGTAGTAATTGAATTTCTGAATTTTGTTGTAAAGTAACATTGACAGCAAAAAGTAGACTGCCAAAATTTTCGCCAGGATTTGTAAGATATTTCCAATCGATATCTTTTATTTTGAAATTTTTGTTGACATTTAATTGAAGAAGAGATTCAAAATTTTTGATGGGAAACATTTTATTCTATTTTTATAGAATTAAGCCTGTAAGGAAAAGAATAAGAAAAACAATGAATTAATTGAAATCTGATGCAATGATTATAAATGATAAAATATGCCATAATAAGCATATAATTAAATATTCTTTGGCATATATTTATCATAATGTCGATTTAGAGTAAATCATGAATATGATTGTATTTAATTTTATTTAAAGTAAATAGATGGATTAATTTGTTAATTATTTAATAAAAAAAATATTTTAGGATAGTTGAACTGCACAATATATAAGATGTATGATGCAACAGCGTAATATTATATTATTGTCCTTGAATAATTAATTTAAAGTATTTTGTCAAGTAAGAATAAAAAAGTAAATGGGTAAAATATTTGTAAATTAAAATAAACTTGCCTTAGAGATAATAAAAAGTTTGAATAGTTGTAATATGTGAAGCACAATTGTTTGGAATAGATAAATACTGCTCGTTGCAAAAAAGTAGAATGCTGAAGTGACCGTTTAATGGTTTGAATTATATAAAGCGCAAGTATAATACTACTACTGAATTATACTGTATGCGTAAATCTTTATCTTCCCTCTAACACTGAAGACATATTTAACAACTCCCACTTTTCCGTTAGAGAAAATAAGTGTTCATTTGGAAAAAAATTATCCTTAATCTTTAATGTTAAAGTTATATAATGACTTTTTAAGTTTAGCACAATGACATTGACATTACATGTATCGTATGTAGTACGTATGACGTGGGATTGGCAAAACTTATCGTTACATATAACTGTAATGGTTTATCCGATGGATAATAGATCAAGAGGTCTCATTTATCATATTAGCATTGTACATGATGCATAAATATATTAATGCAGTAAATGAAATGATATTTGTTTTATTTAATTTATAGAATGCTGCATATTATAATTCAATAGAACATGACGAAAAAATAATGGAATTGGAAAATATGGAAAATGTTAATGTGAATAGTAGTACAACAGCATCAGCGTGTTATAGCCGAAACATGACGTTTCCTCGATCAAATTCATCGTATGGAATGAGGCATGAACTTCCTGCTGTAGTAACTGAAGGAGAGAATTATAGACTTCCAGGAGAGGTAAGTGATATTTAGTGTATTTAATAGTTTAATAATAATAATAAAATATAATGTGTGTATTTGTAGCAATTACAAAGTAATCAGTGCAATGACGGCCATTTGTCGGGAATAGTACCGGATGTAGCAATGGCAACAGCATCATTTGGTGCCCTTCAATTAGCAGAACAACAAGAATTGGAATTAGATCTTGGTGATGGTGCAACACATTTACTGCAACCTCCTCCTGGAATAGTTGGAGCTCATCATTCTCAACTTTCACATCAACGTCAAAGACATTTTACCGGAGTACCTTCTCATCCTTACATGTACCATCGATCAAATCCCGGTCTGCCGAAGTTTATATGAAAACGACATATAAGTATGAGCAGATGTATGAAAAAACAAGTTTATATGACTGATATAATTTATGTATGTACATATTTATATATAGATATATATACATAGATGGGAAAGACGGCATAATGAAATGGAATTTTATTTTGTTGGCGATTATAAATTGTTGTAATATGAATATTGTAAATTTTTTTTTGTTATTTATGTGAATTTAATTTATACGCCATGACATGAAAATTATTTAAAAATTGGAGTATAAGCATTAATGTAAGTACGAATGGCTGTTATTTATAATAGTATGATATGATATAATCGTAGAATATATATATATATAAGTATATATATATACAAGTTGTTGAGATATGATAAAACAAATAAAAAATAAGATAAGACTGCATGTAATGCTGGTGAGAGAAGCGGTTTATTTTAGTGAAAAAAAGTACCAACAACAATAATAAACAAGTAAATCGTTAATTTTAAATGAGGGTAATCATTTATTGGACCAATTGAAATGCTATTAATGAAATTGATAGTAAAGAGAGATAGAAGAAGGTAAATTGTGACATAATTGAGTAATGTAATAAAAATGAAGTAAGTAGTGTGAAGTTGAGAATGCATTTATAATTATTGATGATAACGATAAACGATTATTTAACTTGAATAATAAAAAGGTATGATTTAAAAATTATCAAGACTTTATTAGATATAAATGATTCGTTTATTACTATATTTTACACTGCCAAAAAAGATTTAGTAAAAATGCACTGTACTTTAATGTACTATATTAGAATGACACGTAGATTAAAAAATTTAAATAATTGAATTATTCAATAAACGTGATGAATATTATTTTGTATTGAAATGAATTAACTGAAATGAATAGTGTAATAATAAAGTAGAAGTGGGGCGGAAAAAAATGTCGGCAATAAATGATATTGAATAATAATAATAATAGGTAAAAATGAATAGACGATGTGCGGCGAAAAATGACCAATTAATATGAAATAAGAGAGAAGTAATTGGCATGAGTAAATGTAAAAGTGAATATTATTTTCGGAAATTGCGTAATAATGGGACGAAAATATGGGTTACGAATGTAAAGTTGTTTGTGAATAGTTTAAATATGTAATGGATGAATTAATGGGTATGGTGCATGATGGTAGACTGAATAGGTATAATCGAATTAGTATGTAAGAGTAATGGAGTTTGTAAAAGGAGCATTTAAATATTTGTAGTTTTAGGGAATAAGCAGTATATATACGTATGGTTTATTTTAATTGCAAGTCTACTTACGAGAAGTGTAAGGAAAGTGTTTTAGAAGATAGGGGATTGTAATGTAGGGCAAATAGATGAAGTAAGTGACATTTGATGTGTGATATAATAAATTTGTTTGCCAATAAGCGTATAATAAAAGATCTTTATAGGCATATATGATGAAGTTATTTTCCCTAAGAGTGTATGTTTTAGGCTAACAAGAATTATAATTGTAGCTAATAGTTGATGAATATGATGAGCAGTTATTTTGCATGTTGTTAGTGTTCAAGTCTTTTTCAAGATAAGTATGTAAGGGATCGGTGTATTTGTTGATTTTGAGTATAGTAGGATGTGAGGATGGTTATGTTTGGATGGCAGAATGTGACGAAGCCAAATATCGGAGGTGTAGGAGCTGTATGTTTGCGTAGACAAGTGTAGTACGTGTGTGTGTGTAGTGTTGAAGTATGAGGTAAACGATTCATTCGCTGGGGAGGGATTTGAAGTACTTTTATGTCTTAGCGACCATATATTTATTTGTAGAACAGTAAAGTGATGTGATTGTATTGTAGGAATGGTGTAGCTCGATTTAGAATGTCTGTGGTTACCCAGAGGAATACGCTAATAATCATTGTAGACTGATTTCCATCGTCGAGTAGTTAAGTGATATGGAGGTTTTGTCGAAACCGGCGAATTCGTTGTAGAAGGTGCTCAGTTCGGTTAAAGGGAACTTTTTAATATACCCCTCATTGTTGTAGACCATATCATTATTATAGAAGGGTTCAGCGGAAGTGACCTGAATAAACCCTTAATTGTTGTATAGTATGTTCTTGTTGCAGAACAGTGTAGGTATATTTGTAGGAAGGGACCTGTTCTGTGTAGTACGTGCGTGGTTTTTATAGGGAACAAGGAAATTTTTTCAATGTCTTTGTAGACCAGGTGTATGTTGTAGAACAGTGTAGGTAAATGGTTACGTTTTAGGAACCGACCAAATGGACGTAGATTATGTGCAGTTAGACAGAAGAACCTCATAAATGAGCCCATCTTCATTGTAGACTATGTTTGTGGTGCAGAACAGCAAGGGATATGATTTTTTTAGTAGAAGGAGTTCCTCTTGACGTAAATTATGTGTAGTTGTACCGAAGGATGACCTAAGCTACCTGTCCGCGTGTGTAGGCTATGTGCTTCTTGTAGAATGGTTTAGTTATGATTTATTTGTAGGATCAGTCCCTTCTTCGTAGATTACGTGTAGTTGTACGGAAGATGACGTAATGACTCATTTTCTTGTATAGGGAGGCCGTGTTATTCTTCGTGTAGAATGGTTTAGAGCGATATGATTCTTTTGGTAGGAACGGTCCCTCTTTCAGTAGATTATGTGTAGTTGTTACGGAGTACCGACTAATGTACCAACCAGCTGTAGACGTGGACCCTCCTATGATAGACGGTTAGTGATATGAGTCCTTCCCTTTGGTAGGAACGGTTCTTCTTCCGGAGATTATGTGCAGTTCTCGGTAGGATGACGACCTAAGCACTCCCATTTTTTGTAGAACATGATCTATTGGAGACGGTTTTAGTGAGATGATTTCTTTGTAGAACGGTTCCTGCTTTGGTAGGATATGAGCGTTTTTGTAGACTGGGTGACCTATTACCCGCCTGTCCTTGTAGACCGGATTGCTCCCGGTAGAACGGTTTAGTGATAATGAATTTCTTTGGAGGAAACGTGGCCGACACAAAAGCATTATCATACTAGTCGCTAGGCTCTAGTCCCATCTAGCTCTAGTCTCTATCTCTTAGTCTCCCTAGGACACCCATTTTCAAC